ATGCTGTTTAAAATGTTTTAAGATTTTATGTCTGTGTTCTATTTTTATACTTCATGATTTTAGTTTTTATTTCAGCTTTGATCTCTGAATCTTCCAGATATGCTTTTGTTAATGGTTAGTGAAGAGATACTGTAAATTTGTTTAGGTTAGATCTGGTTCAAATTCCCTTGAAAAGCTCCTTTCTGTATCCAGAGTCAGTCTATAAATCTCACCACAGGGTGTCACTCTTTCCTCTGTGAAATTCAGCAGCAGACATGTTTACCTGCTTTAGGTCGCTGCTCCCGTGTGCCGCCTCCTAGCTGGGCGTGGTGGAGACATCCTTCCCTGACAGGCAGAGACTCTGGTCTGGCAGCAATAGGAATGCAGAGCCTTTTTCTCCAACCCTCCACCCTCTTCATTGCCCAACTTCAGCTGGCGGGAAGGCTAGCCCTGGCAAGAGTGCTGACAGTTGCAAGGGCGGGAGTGTTGCCTGGCGTGTTGGGGGGACAATGCAAGTGCAAAGGCAATGGTGCACAGAACTCTTGATGAAGCGGGAGGAGGTGCAGACAGTCCAGTCCCAAGCCACTACAAATGCACATCAGTGGGTAAAAGATCTGCCCGGAGGCAGCCTCTGTCTTCTTCCAGCTGGGATCTTTCCTTCAGCATCCCTCAGGCTGAGCCTCCCTCCTGCCTGGAACACCGCAAGCGACAAGCTTATCAAGTAGGCCTCAGGCCCAGCTGCTTCAGCTGCGCTCTCCAGATAAACCCCTTTGTCCCAGTCAGGCTGCAATCTCCAGGCCTTGAAGAGAGGACAAAATTTCCTCCACAGGATGGTCCCGCCCCCACCTCTCTCTCCTTGTATGGTAATCCACTCATGCCAATGAGACACCCAGCCCAAGGGGGCAAAGAGCTAATTTATAATTATATTCCCCCTCCTTCTCCCAGGCTCAAGAGGTGCAGGTGGGATTCCAAAGCAGCCTTCCCTTATGGCCCCAGAGCTGTGGCAACAGCAGAAAACCAGTGGGCCTTCCCAGCGAGGGCTGTGGTTCCCTGGCAGAACATCTGCTTACATGCAGAAGGACTCCAGACAGAACTGGAATAGTCCTGCCTAAAATCCTGTGGAGTCCATGCAGATTAGTACTGTGCTAAATGGACTCGGCCAGTAGGAGGCAGCTCTTTTCCCATGGGAAATTTTATTTTATTTCTCAAATTGCTAACATTTGCATCTTAGGCAAAAGACAAGCAAGGGTCCCACCAAATAGGTCACACCAAAGAAATGGTAAACGCAGGCAAGAAATACAAGAGATAAAGATGTGAACAGTCTTAAATGTCAGAGGAATTCCAGCACATTTGTAAACTGCAGAGTCCGAATATTGCTTCTGCCACACCAGTTATTGTGGCTGATGTCGGACAGCTGGCAGAAGTGGGGGGCGGGCAAGAGGGTGCTTGGGGTTTATTTTTGTCATGACCACATACCAAAACATTCCTGCACGCCTCTATTATGGCACCCAACCCTCCTGCCTCCCCAGAGTTTGCCTCTGCTCCAGCAGTGAAAAATCTCTTGCTGCACCCAGAGGCGGATTTAGGGCAGCACGATCAGTTCTGCTGCACTGGGTGCCAAGCCCAGGGGCATTGCAACTGTGACATAGGGAATTGAGCAGAACAGAAGGCGGGGGGGGCGAGGCCCCAAATGTTGGCCTCACCCCGGGTACTGCTGAAATGTGAAAGACCCAAGTCCACCCCTGCTACGCTCCTACTTGCCTCCTTAACTCCAGCAAAGGATACTGCACCCTGTGCCTTTAGTCCATGCCCTGGGATCTCATACAGAAATGAAAGCAAGCCCAAGGCTATGTAGATGACACCTCAGTGTCCATCTGTATATAGTAGATATAATCCATATATAATGTAGTGTCCTTTGATTCCCAGCATTTTTAAGGACGAGTTTCACTAGGATGGCAGAACCAGGACAGTATGGATTCCTGGGCTTGCACATGCAACCTTTTGGAGACTGTAAGCATAAAATAGTACCGGGGCTGCATGTTCTTCAGAGCCCCTTCAAAAGAAATCTGGAGTTTGCAATAGAACAAGCCTGTTCATACCCATATGAAAAAAGGCAGTAAGAGCCTACTTAGCATCATAGAATACAGAAATTGTCCATGGTTTTCTTTTGCAAAGGGAGTGGGGGGAAATGAGCCAGAACCAAACTTAGGATAAAGTATAATTTATTTCCCACATTTCCGCTCCCCCAGAGAACTCACACTTTAATGTGAAATTCAGTGGAGTTCTGCTACAGAATGTGCCTCAGCCACTGCAGGAAGCAGGTCTCCTGACCTGCAGAGCAGAACTTACACTTCACTTTCTAGTAGTTTGCAAGGAAATTAAATTCCCTAATCCAGTCCTACAACAATGAATAAACACACTCCAAACTAGGTGGGACAGGACTAGAGGGAAGAACTGTGAACAGATTTTCCAATTAAAAAAAAAAAAAGATAAATGCAGGCACTACCATCATTCAGAACAGGGTTATGATACCTTTCCCCATCACTCACAGTGTTGGTTTTTTTACTTGAATTTCCCACTCCCTCAAAGCTGTTTTCCCTCTGAAGCAAACTATGCAAGATCTATACAAGAAAGAGGGGGATTTTCCCTGCCAGACTTGAAGATATATTTTGAAGCCGAGGCTTTCTGCTGGATTAAGGAATGGATTCAACCAGATAATGCTGATTTGTTAGATTTGGAAGGATTTGACAATTTATTTGGTTGGCACACATATTTATGGTATGACAAGATTACGGCCCATAAAGGTTTTAAAAATCATGTAATTAGAAAATCTTTATATAATGTTTGGATAAGATATCAAGATCTATTAGAAAGAAAAACACCCAGGTGGCTTTCACCAATGGAAGCAAAGGCCCAGAAAAAGTTAAATATGGAGAGTAAATGGTTGAAATATGCTGATTTATTGTTGGAAGATAACGAAGGATTTAAATTAAGATCATTTGACCAAATTAAAGATAAATTAAATGGTTGGTTACAACATTATCAAATTAATGAAGTGTATGAGATTGATAAGAAAAATGGTTTTGCAACAGAAAAATCCAAATTGGAAACGGAGTTGTTAGATACCAATGTAAAAAAATCTTTCTAAAATGTATAACTTATTGTTGGAATGGCATACAAAGAATGAACAAGTTAAATCTGTGATGATTGACTGGGCAAGAGATGTTGGACACAATATAATGTTGGAAGATTGGAAAAGGCTTTAGAAGAAAGGGGTTAAGTTTACTGCATGTACTGTACTAAAAGAAAATATCATGAAATTGCTGTATAGATGGTATTTAACCCCAGTGAAACTAGCAAAGATGTACCATACTAATGATAACAAATGTTGGAAATGTAAAGAAAAATAAGGTACCTTTTACCATATGTGGTGGACGTGTCCTAAGGAGAAAGACTTCTGGGGGGGAAATTATAATGAACTGAGAAAAATGTTGAAAAATACATTTATTAAGAAACCAGAAGCCTTTCTCCCTGGAATAATAGGATTAGAACTGCCCGAAAAAGATGTTAGGCTGTTTTTGTATGCCACCACAGTGGCAAGACTTTTATTGGCCCAAAATTGGAAATCGCAAGAAATACCAACAATAGATGAATGGCAGATGAAGATGTTGGACTTTTTGGAGCTGGCTGACCTGACTGGAAGAATCCAGGACCAGAAAGAAGAGGAGGCACAAGAAGATTGGAAGAAATTTAAAGAATATCTAGCTAAATATTGTAATATAAGATAATTAGAAGTCACTTGAAAGTAATAAATAGGCTTAGGACTAGATTAAGAATGTGTTGTATAACATTAAGGATTATAATACTATTAAAAGAGAGGAGTAAATGGTAGGAGTCAATTTCAATAGAAATATGATTTTGGAGAACTGTTACAAGGTGATACAATGAAATTCAGTTAAGGGGGACTCAAGGAAGTCAATAAACAATTTAAGGTAATTTGGATTTTGGAAGAAATAACTCTTTTTTGTTTTCCTTTTGTACTGTAATGTTTTTTCATTTGTTGTGTTTTATAATGTCTTGTTTTCTTATAAAATCAGAAAAGCAGTAAAAAAATTTGAAGAAAAAAAAGATCTGTACAAGAACTGATTACTTCAGTGGGCAAATAACAATATGGGTGGGGAGCATTCAGGTTATATAATTAAACCCCCTCCCCTGGACCACCACCAGCATCCTGATCTGTGGGGGGGGGGGGGCGTGTTGCAGCTGCATTTTTAAAAAAGGAAGATCCAATTACAGGCCCAACTAGACAAAACAAAAGAGATCCCTGACTAGATCTCCCCTATGTGATCTGCTGAGAAAGGGGGATTCATAGTTTGACCAGAGCTGGAGCAGGGAGCACAGCAGATCCCACGGCTGCGCACCAATTATGGTGAATCACCTCTGTATACGTCTACACTCAAACACTATGGGTTATTTTATACATTTTTGTGTGTGAGAGGGTAAACTTGGAGACTCAGGCAGAAGTTGAGCAAACAATAAAGTTTTATTTTACAGAACAAAGTTGGAAAAATGTTACGGAAATTACGGGGGGGAGCACATCTTTAAAGTTGTTAAATGTTACAAATATTATGCATAAATGTATCCTTTTGACTTGACAGCTCAGTGAAGTTACCTAGCTTTAACAATCATATAAAATCAACTCCTTTGCCAGTTTCCTCCATTCCAAAGCTATTTTCCTCTTGAAAAAGGACTCCAGGAAGTTCCCAGAGGTGACAATTGCTGAGCTGATTGTTGGCCAAGGAAAGCCTAATCCCATCACCAGATTTGCCAAGGGATCCAAACATACCTGGGTCTTGCCCTGCCATGTCTGCTTATGCTAATCTTGTACCAAGGACTTGTCTGGACATGTCTGCCAGGGTTAAACTAGTGTAACCCCTGTCTCTCCTCCCCTTTTGTGACATGTCAGTGATGTAGCAATGATGTAGCAATGATGCTGTACGAACTGTATTCTGGGATATGGTGGGAAAGTTTTAAAAGTCCTTGTCACCCCATCCTCGCCATTCCCCGGGACACACATCACATCCCCAGGACACGTGTCACACCCCTGGGATGCGCGCCAGCCACGCCCCCACCTGCTCTCCACCCCCACTGCTCTTCGCCACTGCTCAGCTGGATGCCATATGAACCTAGAAGGAGATCAGCAGGCCAGGGAGGCTAGTTTGTGGGTGAGTTTTGGTTATGCCAAGAGCTAAAAGGATACAGAGGCACTGAACCTTCTCTGTGAGCTGAATCCCCAAGCTATGGTCTGCGGTGGCGCCTTCCCTCAAAACCTAATGGGGAATCAAGATCCGTTGGGGTGTTAATGCTTTGAGCTCTTACATCATATGCTCAGAATGTATGTCTGTATAAGTAAAACCATATATGTATCCCAAAGACACCACAGTCTCTGCTGACCTTAACTCCAAGGCAGCTGAACCCTGAGTAAGCGTTGGAAATCCTGAAATCTCTCACCGCTCAGAAATTGGTGTGTGTGCAGCTATAGCTACAGATATAGTTGCAAGTTGCAAGTTCTGAAAATGTTTTGCAGAACTGTTTTCTGTTCTTGCTTTGGGTAGAGACAGTTTTGCAATTAGTAGTTAACAGTTGTGTTTCTGAGAACTACTTTCTCAACTTTTTTGAGTTTCACAATTTTGCATCACAGTAGACAAAACTGGGCTAGATGGACTGATGGCATGATTCAGTACACAGTAGCTATTTACAATTTCCTCAAACTAAGCTTTGGGGAAGTTGGCTTGAGTTTTGGGTACCAGTGTGGGTGAAGCTCCACCTCTCCAGATGCTTTGTCTCTCAAGGAAAAAAGCCACTGGGGGTGATTTTGAGGGGACAAAATGACTGGAAAGGAAAGCGTCAAGCCATCTCTTCCCTATCCCCAAACTACCTTCACTCTGTCTGAAGCCATTCACAGCTGCCATGTGTAACATAAAAAGAGCCCACAGGAATGCAAAACATGTTGGGAAATAACTGGGGAATACCAATTAATCCTGAAGTCCCACTACAAAGGAAAAATGGCTGACTGCCTGAATTAAAAAAAAAAAAGTGTGCAGGGCTTGACTCGCTCTTTAGCCAAAACAACCCCCAAGCAGAGTTTAAAACATATTTATGACATGTTTGCAAAGAATGAGAAATATGAATTGTGCCAGTATTAAGCATTTATAGTTCTCCCCTGCCTTTAACCCTCAGACTGAATAGACCACAACTTTAGTAAGTTTAAATGCTTTACTTACAATAATCACAGGTCTCACTCATCATTCAACACCACAGCAGCAGCAACACAGGCAAGGGACAAAAGTTAGCCTCAAACACGCGGTCTGAGTCTGGAGCCCCAGCTCAGTTTAGCAGCTGGATAGCTCAGCTGGTTAGAGGTTGCAGGTTTGATTCCCGTAAGGGACAGCTGCATGTTCCTGCATTGCAGGGGGTTGGACTAGATGATCCTCAGGGTCCCTTCCAACTCTATGATTCTACATGGTTCAATGGGGAGAGTGAGGAGCAGGAAACAACCCTTATTTCCTCCCTCCCCAAAGGTGAGAGGTCATGACCAGTCTGAGTCTGCTCTTACTGGCAATCATGCACAGCTATGGCTGACTAGATGCACCTCCCACAGAACATGCAAGAAGCTCAATACATTTTGTGGCCTGAGGAAAAGCAGCAAATACTCGTGCTGTCTGCCATAAAGCTTGTGAAGTGGATCTGCCCCACCCAGTCGGACAGCTGGCTACACTCAGACAACGAAGTTGCCCCACCAGAGGCCCACCAGGGACCGGCTGCTTTTTTGTTTGAGTTTATAACTTTATTCTAAGAAGATTCCCATTGCAGACCTCAAGCAAGCTCTGCATGGGCTTGCCAGGGAGATACTTCTGAGCAAAGTAATTTGACCAGCCTTGGGCACCAGCACGTACCTGAGGGTGTCATTTGCCCCTCCACACCAGACAGCAAAACATCTGGGCCCACCCCTGACAGGACCAGGGGCAGGGAGACCCCTCACCAACAGCTGCAATCCCTGTTCCTTCCCTGCAGAGCTGTGTTTAAAAACAGGAGAGGGCAGAGAGATCAAATGCAAGCCCACATTTTAAAAGAAAGCAAAAAGCAGAGGGTCAACATTAGGAGCATGAACTATTAAAATTTTCATCATTCGCTAATCAGATACAACTTCTTTGCAATGATTCATTTTGGCAAGAGACAACACACATAATCAATTGTTAAAAGTTGTTCTGTGACATCAGCTTATTATCACCATAGCAACAATCAAACTACATGTGTATTTTTGATATGACTTAACTTGTAATTAAGGAAGGGCTCCTGCAAAGCACACAGCAACCCACTTCCTTCTTAACAACTTTATTGTAAAGTAAAAATTCTGTAAGGTAAAAATTTTGTTAACTCAGTCTGTGCTTAAGAAGTTTGTCCTGGGCAGGACTCTGTAGTTGCACGGAGAGGTGGGAGGAGTAAAAGGAAAAAAGAAAAAATATATATGCTGAGGGGAATGTGACTGGGTGTTATAAGTACAGGTCACCTTAAGTGTCCGTTGGGTCCATTTCCTATGGATATAAAAGGCTGCATTTGAGAGGAAGCAGCAGAACACCACGGGGGGTCAGCAGGGATACGACAGCCAGCACCATTTCAAAGCCAGTACCATTGGAGTCATGTATGGCATTCTGTGGCTGGGGGGCATCATAACTATATTGCATTATTGGTAAAATTCAAGAAATTTGGTTTCACTGTCAAACATTGGTCAAATTAGCTGAAATCAGGGGGCAGAGTCCTTTCCTCAGTATTAGATAGCATGAAGTGCTTCATATATTAGCACCAACTTGAAAACGGTCAATTATCTGGTGGATTACGAAGATGTTTTTAAAACACAAATGTCAAAAATCTACTTTGATGGACTTGAGATATATTTCCCAATGAAAGAACCACAGAAATATATGCACAAAAACAGCTTGTAAAAGTTGTCTGTTGGAAACATCTGTGAACTCAACCAACTTTGGAAATTAAGCCATAAGAATCTCAACCAGCTACACATGGATACTCAGCAATTATATTATGAGGGAGCTGACAAGTTAAAACAAGTCACTGCTGCAAATGAAACTGGTATTGTTAAAGGGGTTTTATAGAAATTTGTACAGTTTATAGCGTTTTATAGAAATTTGTACAGTTTAACTTTTCTACTGTGGGAACCAAAAACAAACCCCTGTGTTTCAATAAGAACCAATCACAACAATACAAACACAACACGTAGGTTAAAAGTTAGTGGAGAATATATAATAGAATAATGATATCATTCAAATTATAGGAATAAGCCAATCAAAGTTCATATGTGCAATATAACAGAGTAGTAGAGTGGACCGTCAAGCCGTGTGTTCAAAACAGATGTCTAAGGACAGTCTCACAATAGTCTCTCAAAAGTTTCAACAGAAGACGTCTCAAAAGTTTCAAAAGCACAGTCATACCTCATGTTGCGTCCAGTTCAGGTTACGTGTTTTCGTGTTGTGTCCCACGGCAACCCGGAAGTACCGAAACGGGTTACTTCCAGGTTTCACCGCTCACGCATGCGCAGACATGGCACTTTGGCTTGTGTCAGTTCCATGTTATGGACGGGCCTCCAGAACGGATCCTGTCCATAACACGAGGTTCCACTGTGAAGTCTCTCAACAGTCTTTCAAAAGTTTCAACAGAAGACATCTCAAAAGCCTCAAAAGTACAGTGTCTCCGGAATGATACTACTGTTTTGTAATAGTCTTCACCAGCTGGAAAAAAGATACAAGGCATACAACCATTTTGTTATCATTCATTGGTTGTATGCCTTGTATCTTATTTCTAGCTGATGAAGACTGTTCTCCACTAACTATTAGCCTACGTGTTGTGTTTCCTACTGTGGGAAACATGAAATGCACCAACTAAGGGCATTTTACTGATGGGATTTATATACAGTACCGCCTTTCTGCCAAGATGGTTTACAATTTAAGCACTTAAACGAATATATTATATTAAACGAAGACTGACAGAGTCCTCTCATGCCAGCTGGCCTGGACACCCTTGCTCCTGCCTTCATCCATTAAAATATAGTTTATGTATCTGAGTAAATAGTGTTCATTGTTGTCATATTTACTGATTGTGAGTAGATAGTATAAACAGCACAACTTTGAGTGTAATTCCTCAGATCCATTATCAGCATAGATCTACATTTCTCTGTGTAAAGACTGGGGCTGGAAAGAATGTAGATTGCTTAGTTTGTTCAGGGGTGTGTGGCTTCTAATCTCAGGTAGATTTTGAGTTCAGATTGTCTGAATGTATTGTTCCTGTTATTTAGGCTGCTGTCCCTAAACAATCCCTGGTGAGTAAACTCCATTGAACACAATGAGATTTACTTCTGAGTAAACATTCAGCTAGCTTGTGAAGATTTATTTGTGCGCTATCCAGATGTTCAGTGTGCTCTGAGAAATATGTTGAGTCTATTCAGACTCAAAGCCGCACACTGTACCCATCAAGCAGATGGAGAAGGGGCCAGTGCAGGTTTGAGAGATTCAAGCCGGAGGGTCCTGAGGGGTAGCTGGGGTGGCCTGTTGCAACAAAAATGACAATTTTGTGGCACCTTCAACACTAACAAGTGGATTATTACAGCATAAGCTTTCATAAATTAAAATGCACTTTGACGCTTCATGAAGTGTTATCTGAAGTTGTCAGGCATATATCTACATGGAGCTGTAAGGGGGAGAATGGTGAGGAGTGACCACAGAAAATAAGAAGAGCCTGCTACATCCTGCCAAAGACTTATCTAATCCAGCCTTGTGGTCTCACAGCAGCCAACCAAATGCTTATGAGAAGTCACCAGGAGGACCTGAGTACAGCAGCGCACTCCCAGAGAGTAACGCCAGATGGAAATGAAAAGCAAAAAATACAGAATTTGACAATTACATAAATGCCCCGAAGCGTTAAATGCCCATTAACAAAGCAGAGTGGGTGAAAATGCAAACATCTGGCATTGGTAAGTCAAAGAACATCCCAAGCAACAGCATGTGTTTCTGAGACAACTTCCTGGGCCTGATCCAGTAAATCTTAGTTAGGAATTAGTCAAGAGAAGCATCCTGTAGACAGATCATGGACATGTGCTAAATCCCTGATAACCTGCCAGTGCATAAACACCCTCACTGAGTGCATGTGTCAATAGATGCCAAGAAAGGAGAGAACAGAAAGGCCGAAATGTGGCATAAACAAAAATAGACATATGGCAAGAGGTGGTTATGACAAGCATGTAGGTGTCATATAAAAAGTACCCATTCTGCAAGTCAAAAGACTTTGCCATAAGACTTAGTTATCTATTATTTTACAGCTCTTTAAAACACACACTTTATTTTAACACATTAAAAAAAGCCCACATAGGTTGGTATCCAACTAATTCATTAAATCAGCGCAATGATTTTTTGCTTGTGCAAAAGAACTTCCCAGCACACTCCCTATGTGTGCCCCACACCTTCGCCTAATATGCTCTGGAGGGTAGGGGTGAACCAGAGCAAGTTTTGGAGTGGCAAAGGTGTAAGAAAGGAGAGAAGGTCCATAGCACAAACAGAAATCCTTGTGCTAATGGAACAAATTAGCTGGACACAGTCTATAGTTTCTTGAAGGCAGAATGTTTCCATGAAAGCAACATAACATTCGTATAAAGATAAGGGAACTTAAAACCCACAACAAAACAGCAATGTTTTTATGGCAGGAAATCACAACTAAATATAAAACTAAATCAGAGTTAGTGATCTATGGCTGAAAGGCAAAGTTCTTGACATTGTTGATCCAGTTAAAACGGTGTTTTCCTTGCATTAATTTCCTAAGAATTCTACCACACAACAAGTTTGTAACCATGAAAATACATGGTCCAAAAGCTAAGGTCCAGGGGCATGCAGAGTTGTGAACATTATAACCATAACCTGTATATTTAAAAGGAAATGACAAATGACCGTTAAAATGAATAATTGAAAATTACAGAAATATGTATGTGTTCACCCACAAATAAGAATTCATGCCGGGGAAAAGTATTGATGCTAGAGCTTAAAGATGACACCACTTGCTAGTTTGCAATAGCTGAAGAGGAAACTCTTTGAGGACATGGATTGCACAAGCATGACGCAGCAGCTAAAAATAGAGGACAAGGGCCAAACTAGACATGACATGGCAGACCGTGCACAGGATCTCCTTTTTTAAAAAAAATAATCTTTATTGCTTTTAAAACTTACAAGAAAAGAAGAAAGAAGAAAATAGGCGAAAGAAAAAGACAAAATAGAGCAGAGAAGAAGAAAAAAAAGAGAGAAAGAAAAGAAAAAACAATACAATACAATACAATACAATACAATACAATACAGTAAACAATACAAAACACAACCTTAACACACTAAACTAAACAAAGCAAAAGAACAACAATTTAAAAACATATATCATACCATTTCATTACTCTATCTTTCATTCCCTTATTTCATCGACCTCCTCTCACCTCCCTTTTTGTATTCCACTTCTATTACTTGTTTCAGCAATTCCTTTCCATCTTTCTCTATTTTTATCATTATGAATATCTTAACATATTTTGTACCTTATTTTCCATTAATACTGAAATACTTATTTATACCTAACTCCTTATAACATTTCTGCTAAAGCCATAAAATTTCATTCCAACAATTTTCTAACACTCATTAAATTTACAATATTTCTATATATAAACTTTAAACTTTCCCAATCTTCTACCACCATCTCTTCTCCCTGGTCTCGGATTCTGCCAGTCATTTCCGTCCATTCCATATAGTTCATCAACCTGGAGATCTTCTGTCCGAGGCTCTTAAATCTTTTCCAAGTCCCTTCTGCAGTTTTTCTTCATATTCTTTGATGCTGAGGGTGCTGAAGCGCAGGTCTTGGGGGGGCCCTGACCCAACCATGCCCTCTCGACAGACCAACCAACTCTCCACAGCTAAAACCAGTGTCCATACAATATCTCAAATCATGTTTCAAGGCTCCCCCAGATCCAAAGGCCCCCACCACTCCAATCACCTCCTGACCCAGATTCAGGACCCAAAGGTCAGTAAATCTCTGCATGAAAGAGTCTATCCAACCTTCCTTCTTCAATCCAAACAGGGCTCCAATCTTCAAATTCTGACTTTTTCTATATTGATTCATAAAAGGCCTCCACTTATAGTCCTCAGTTTGCCTCTGTAAAACTGGGGCTTCCACTTGTATTATTTTAGGTTTAACAACACCAACATTCTCCTTCGTCTTCTCCCCAGTTTGTCCTGTCAAAGTAGGTTCCTGTGTCAAATCCTGAACAATTTCTGTTTTTATGGTCACTTTTTGTTCCAAATTAGTCACTTTTTGTTCCAAGTTCTCCAAGTTCTCATAGCGTCCGTCTTCTTGTGGAGCTGTTCCAACGAATAGCTTATCTTACATAATACAGTCACTAAGACTCCTTCTGTCAACATTCTTAAAGTCCAAGGTCGATCTCTATTTCACACAGTTCTTATCTTGCAACTGGAAAAACCCCAGCTCCACTCTTGTAACTGTTTCAAAAGCTCCCTCTAGAGGGAAACAGTCTCCACTTGTATCGATCCTTTCAAACACAGTTTAAACTATAAAGATAGTTTCTTTTCCTACTTTTTAAACGCAGATGAGTACAATGGAAACAATATATTTCTCTTATTGCTAGCTGTCAAAAAACATCACTCTTTCTGGCAGCCCATTCCCAGGTTCGGAGCAGTGGTAATTTGGTTTTTCACTCACTCCTGCAGGCTCACTAGGTCCAAAATTTCCCCCCTCTTCTGCTTCCAAGGGGGGTTTAATAGTTTTAACCGATGGAGATTTAATCCTTTACAAAAATAAACTTTCCAAGGCTTTAACTTGCAACTTCTTTGCTTCAATCTGTTTACAAAAAAGGAAGGCAGACTTCCTGTTTAGAACCTTCCCGTTTCGATGCCAAATTAATGAATTTAAGGATCTAATTTTCCGTTCTACTCATGGGTAGTTGTTTAAAATCCACTTGTCCACAGGAAAAAGTCAGCGCTCTCCAGCAACAGCGATGCGGCTTCACTCCGTGAAAGAAGCAGTCAATTCGAAGCACCGCGCCACTCACCCTACTTTGCTCCGGATCCCCAAATCAGGGTTTTCCCGTGAGTAGGGGAGGCGCAAAGGGTGCCAGCCGAATCCCAAGTTCACAGGCTTCTCCCGCCTGTGGTTTCAGTGGGTCTCCGCCTTCGCCGTGGCGGTCAGACCCTAATTTCCACGGAGCAAATTCCTCCCGATCGGAGGAACTCCGCCATTGCCTGGAGGCGCCAACCCGGAAGTCCGTGCACAGGATCTCCTACAGGTTTGTTTTTCTAAATGTTAGCAGCAGTCTTGGGGGAGGAGTGATTCAAGTCAGACTCATGTCCTAAAGATATTTTATGCTTTTCTTGAAATACATTATAAAACAGGGAAGCAAAAAAGAACAAAGAACTCCGGATCCTAAAAATATAGATTATTGTAGGCCCAACAATACATATTTTTAGCAATAATTCTCATAATAACAGTATAATTATGTCAATAACAGTATAATTATGTGAATAATTCTCATGTACAAGGAGATACATAGTTCTAGTTACAGGTAGGTAGCCGTGTTGGTCTGTTGTCTTTGTCCATGGAGTTTTCTTGGCAGGGATACTGGAGTGGCTTGCCGGTGAGAAAGCTAGAGAGTTCCTGAAAGACATCTACTTCTGCTTCATTGACTATGCAAAAGCCATTGACTGTGTCGACCACAGCAAACTATGGCAAGTTCTTAAAGAAATGGGAGTGCCTGATCACCTCATCTGTCTCCTGAGAAATCTCTATGTGGGACAAGAAGCTAGAACTGGGTATGGAATAACTGATCGGTTCAAAATTGGGAAAGGAGTATGACAAGGCTGTATATTGTCTCCCTGCTTATTTAACGTATATGCAGAATTCATCATGCGAAAGGCTGGGCTGGATGAATCCAAGGCCGGAATTAAGATTGCCGGAAGAAATATCAACAACCTCAGATATGCAGATGACACAACCTTGATGGCAGAAAGTGTGGAGGAATTAAAGAACCTTTTAATGAGGGCGAAAGAGGAGAGCGCAAAATATGGTCTGAAGCTCAACATCAAAAAAACGAAGATCATGGCCACTGGGCCCATCACCTCCTGGCAAATAGAAGGGGAAGAAATGGAGGCAGTGAGAGATTTTGCTTTCTTGGGCTCCATGATCACTGCAGATGGTGACAGCAGTCACGAAATTAAAAGACGCCTGCTTCTTGGGAGAAGAGCAATGACAAACCTAGACAGCATCTTAAAAAGCAGAGACATCACCTTGCCAACAAAGGTCCATATAGTAAAAGCCATGGTTTTCCCAGTAGTGATGTATGGAAGTGAGAGCTGGACCATAAAGAAGGCTGATCGCCAAAGAATTGATGCTTTTGAATTATGGTGCTGGAGGAGACTCTTGAGAGTCCCATGGACTGCAAGAAGATCAAACCTCTCCATTCTTAAGGAAATCAGCCCTGAGTGCTCACTGGAAGGACAGATCCTGAAGCTGAGGCTCCAATACTTTGCCACCTCATGAGAAGAGAAGACTCCCTGGAAAAGACCCTGATGTTGGGAAAGATTGAGGGCACAAGGAGAAGGGGACGACAGAGGACGCGATGGTTGGACAGTGTTCTTGAAGCTACGAACATGAGTTTGACCAAACTGTGGGAGGCAGTGGAAGACAAGATTGCCTGGCATGCTCTGGTCCACGAGGTCATGAAGAGTCGGACACGACTAAACAACTAAACAACAACAACAAAGCCGTGTTGGTCTGCCATAGTCGAAACAAAATAAAAAACTTCCTTCCAGTAGCACCTTAGAGACCAACTAAGTTAGTTATTGGTATGAGCTTTCGTCTGCATGCACACTTCTTCAGATAAACTGAAACAGAAGTCACCAGTGAGAGGGTGGGGAGGGGTATTACTCAGAAGGGTGGTGGGAACGGGTGATTGGCTGGTAGGTGTGGTTAAACTGTTGACTACTGTTAACGACTGCAATTGGTCTTACAGGAAAAAGCAAGGGGTGAGATAGCTAAAAATAGCTTTATCATGTATAATGAGATAAGAATCCAATGTCTCTATTCAGACCAGATCTCTCCATGGTTTTAAGTTTGGTAATGTGCTGGTCCCCGGGGGGGGGGGGGGTTACCGTGCGGCATGTTCTGAGTCCGGTCCTGGGTCAAGCGTCTGGAAGCTGTCCGTTGAGGGTGAAGCGGGGTCCAAGACAAGGGGCTGGGCGTGGTCAGGAACTCAGAGAGAGCAGATCAGAGTGCTGGCAGGAACAGGTTTCCAACGATGTTGCTCCCGCAACCTGGGACTGGGCTGACTGGCCTGTATCTCCTCTGAGGCCTAGGGCGGTCCCGGCCCACAGGTGACTCACCTCTCCTTGCCTTAAGGCGAGCACTCCTCCTGTGAGAACTTAGTTCCCTCCGCCTCTCTGCCCTGAGCCTCTGCAGCTCTGGAGAGGCTGGAAGGTTACTGGACCCAGAGGCAACCTCACCTTCCTCTGACAGGGCGGAGAGAGGCGCACCTGCAGGCAATGGGTCCTCGATCACCTCTGGAGCCAGAGCAGATTCAGCTGGTGTCTGCTCCTGAGGATCCGGCACAGGTGCAGGCACTTCAGATTCAAGGCCCTGCCCCGGCTCAGCTGGTCCTGGAGGTGGGGACTCCTGTGCAGGCTGGGATTCCTCCGGTTCAGCCTCTGAATCAGATTCCCAGGCCATCACAGGTAATAAGTTGCAATTCAGCAACTTCTCTTTCCAATCTATTTCTGAAATTCTTTTGTAATAAGACAGCTACTTTGAGATCTTGTATAGAATGTCCTGGGAGACTGAAGTGTTCTCCTACTGGTTTCACTGTCTTGTGATTCCTCATATCAGATTTAGGTCCATTTATCCTTTGGCATCCCCTTCATGGATCACTGCCTTGCCATGGTGAAGGGGCTTGAATAACTCAGAGAAGCTATGAACTATGCCGAGCAGGGCACCCAAGATGAACAGGTCATAGTGGAGAGTTTTGAGCAAACGTGATCCACCTGGAGGAGGAACCGGCAAGCCACTCCAGTATCCCTGCCAAGAAAACTCCATGGACAAAGACAACAGGCATATAAAAGTTATGACGCTGGAAGATGAGCCCCTCAGGTTGGAAGGTGTCCAACATGCTACTGGGGAAGAGCGGAGGACAAGTACAAGTAGATCCAGAGCTGATGAAGCGGCTGGGCCAAAGCCGAAAGGACGCTCAGTTGCGGATATGCATGGAAGTGAAAGGAAAGTCCAATGCTGTAAAGAAAAATATTGCATAGGAACCTGGAATGTAAGAACCATGAACCTGGGTAAGTTGGATGTGGTCAAAAATGAGATGGCAAGAATAAATATTGGCATCCTGGGCATCAGTGAACTAAAATGGATGGGAATGGGCGAATTCAGTTTGGATGACTATCATATCTACTACTGTGGGCAAGAAACCCATAAAAGAAATGGAGTGGCCCTCATAGTCAACAAAAGAGTGGCGAAAGCTGTACTGGGATGCAATCTCAAAAATGATAGAATGATCTCGATACGAATCCAAGGCAGACCTTTTAACATCACAGTAATCCAAGTTTATGCACCAACTACTGGTGCTGAAGAAACTGAAATTGACCACTTCTATGAAGACTTACAAGACCTTATAGAAGTGACACCAAAGAAGGATGTTCTTCTCATTATAGGGGATTGGAATGCTAAAGTAGGGAATCAAGAGATAAAAGGAACAACTGGCAAGTTTGGCCTTGGAGAGCAAAATGAAGCAGGGCAAAGGCTAATAGAGTTCTGTCAAGAGAACAAGCTGGTCATCACAAACACGCTTTTCCAGCAACACAAGAGACGACTCTACACATGGACATCACCAGATGGGCAGCATCGAAATCAGATTGATTATATTCTCTGCAGCCAAAGATGGAGAAGCTCAATACAGTCAGCAAAAACAAGACCTGGAGCTGACTGTGGCTCAGATCATCAGCTTCTTATAGCAAAATTCAAGCTTAAACTGAAGAAAGTAGGAAAAACCACTCGGCCGGTAAGATACAATCTAAACCAAATCCCTTATGAATACACAGTGGAAGTGAGGAACAGGTTTAAGGATTTAGATTTGCTGGACAGAGTGCCTGAAGAACTATGGGTGGAGGCTCGCAACATTCTACAGGAGGCAGCAACTAAAACCATCCCAATGAAAAAGAAATGCAAGAAAGCAAAGTGGCTGTCCAACAAGGCCTTACAAATAGCAGGGGAGAGAAGGCAAGCAAAATGCGAAGGAGATAGTGAAAGATACAGGAAATTGAATGCAGATTTCCAAAAAATAGCAAGGAGAGACAAGAAAGCCTTCTTAAATGAGCAATGCAAAGAAATAGAGGAAAACAACAGAATGGGAAGAACCAGAGATCTGTTCAAGAAAATCGGAAATATGAAAGGAACATTTCGTACAAAGATTACCATAATAAAGGACAAAAGTGATAAGGACCTAACAGAAGCAGAAGACATCAAGAAGAGGTGGCAAGAATACACAGAAAAATTATACCAGAAAGATATGGATGTCTCGTACACCCCAGGTAGTGTGGCTGCTGACCTTGAGCCAGACATCCTGGAGAGTGAAGTCAAATTGGCCTTAGAAAGCATTGCTAATAACAAGGCCAGTGGAAGTGATATTATTCCAGCTGAACTATTTAAAATTTTAAAAGATGATGCTGTTAAGGTGCTACACTCAATATGCCAGCAAGTTTGGAAAACTCAGCTGTGGCCAGAGGATTGGAGATCAGTCTACATCCCAATCCCAAAGAAGGGAAGTGCCAAAGAATGCTCCAACTACCGCACAATTGCACTCATTTCACACCCTAGCAAGGTTATGCTTAAAATTCTACAAGGTAGGCTCAACCAGTATGTGAACTGAGAACTCCCAGAAGTGCAAGCTGGATTTAGAAGAGGCAGAGGAACCAGAGACCAAATTGCAAACATGCGCTGGATTATGGAGAAAGCTAGAGAGTTCCAGAAAGACATCTACTTCTGCTTCATTGACTATGCAAAAGCCTTTGACTGTGTTGACCACAGCAAACTATGGCAAGTTCTTAAAGAAATGGGAGTGCCTGATCACCTCATCTGTCTCCTGAGAAATCTCTATGTGGGACAAGAAGCTACAGTTAGAACTGGATATGGAACAACTGATTGGTTCAAAATTGGGAAAGGAGTACGACAAGGCTGTATATTGTCTCCCTGCTTATTTAACTTATATGCAGAATTCATCATGTGAAAGGCTGGGCTGGATGAATCCGAAGCTGGAATTAAGATCATCGGAAGAAATATCAACAACCTCAGATATGCAGATGACACAACCTGATGGCAGAAAGTGAGGAGGAATTAAAGAACCTTTTATTGAGGGTGAAAGAGGAGAGCGCAAAATATGGTCTGAAGCTCAACATCAAAAAAACGAAGATCATGGCCACTGGGCCCATCACCTCCTGGCAAATAGAAGGGGAAGAAATGGAGGCAGTGAGAGATTTTACTTTCTTGGGCTCCATGATCACTCCAGATGGTGACAGGAGCCACGAAATTAAAAGACGCCTGCTTCTTGGGAGAAAAGCAATGACAAACCTAGACAGCATCTTAAAAAGCAGAGACATCACCTTGCCAACAAAGGTCCGTATAGTAAAAGCTATGGTTTTCCCAGTAGTGATGTATGGAAGTGAGAGCTGGACCATAAAGAAGGCTGATCGCCAAAGAATTGATGCTTTTGAATTATGGTGCTGGAGGAGACTCTTGAGAGTCCCATGGACTGCAAGAAGATCAAACCTCTCCATTCTTAAGGAAATCAGCCCTGAGTGCTCACTGGAAGGACAGATCGTGAAGCTGAGGCTCCAATACTTTGGCCACCTCATGAGAAGAGAAGACTCCCTGGAAGACCCTGATGTTGGGAAAGATGGAAGGCACAAGGAGAAGGGGACGACAGAGGATGAGATGGTTGGATGGTGTTCTTGAAGCTACCAGCATGAGTTTGATCAAACTGCGGGAGGCAGTGGAGGACAGAAGTGCCTGGTGTGCTCTGGTCCATGGGGTCACGAAGAGTCGGACACGACTAAACGACTAAACAACAACATCCTTTGGCATAGGGTTTAGCCTGTTTGTCCAATATAGAGAGCTGAAGGGCACTGTTGGCATTTGATGGCATACACAATGTTAGAAGATGAGCAATTAAATAGGCCTGAGATGGTATGTTTGATTTGTTGGGGCCAGTAATGGTGTTGTCCTGGTGTATGTGGCAGCAAAGTTGGGAACTGGCTTCCAATATATATAGAATTCTACTTAGCATAGAATCAGCCTCTTCTTAGGGGCTACAATTAGTGTGGGAGAATGATCTGGATCTCTGGATGAGGAAATAAGTACAGGAAGCGATGTGGTCTAAACCCCCACTTGAAACGATTTCTGTAAGAATACAGGAACGCATGCTGAAAACAGTGTTAAGATGACATTGGATTACACTCTGCTTATCGAGGGCGCCGCTAGGGGCGCCTTGGAAGATGGCTGACAATACCATCTCTCCGGCTCACACGAGGTAATTAAGGGGCTGATGATGGGAGTAAATCAGCCTCCCAGGGTCTCCCCAGGGGATGGGGAGACACAGCCTCGTCCAAGGTTGCCAATAAATCACCCCCGAGTTCGAAAGAAGGAGGGGTGGGGGCACTGGACGGAAAGCCCTCGAGTGAGATTCTGGATCTCCCAGACGCTGCTTCTGAGTGCGACCTAGTTGCATTGCTTAAGATAAAATAATTGGATGTAAAAAGTAAATGCACATGTTTCGAGCAAAGGAAAGGGTGTTTTATCTGCTAATCAAATCTACCGCTGAGAAGTTAAGAGTGATGGGATGGATTGAACAGAAGACTACGGCAAAGATCACAGCTATGTCGGTATGTTGAAACGGAACGGAAGGGAGGGGGAAAACTTCTTCTTTTTCAATATGTTTTACCTAACAACCCCTCCCCTAGAAGAACCGTCACAATGATTTATAGCAAGTGAGACTGGAAAATAAACTGTGTGGAAACAAAGATTAATTAAAGGCTTTGCTTTGTGGAAGATTTGGAAAGGAAACAAAAGGCTTTTTTGGTGACGCAGTCATAAATCGGGATCCGCCATTATGAGACAGACTTTGTTGCGAGATTTACAGTCAAAGGGGGAGGTGAGCCACTGTTCTGCTATCTTGTTTGGATTATATGTCTATTTGGCAATATCCCCCCTGGAAAGACTGATTTATGGAGCAACTGGTCTGGGAAAATTAATGAGCAGACGCTTAGACTTTATTTCATCGGAACTGTCGAAATGGCGCCTGCCGTGCGAATAAGACTTTTGGATCAACGTGTAAGCCCACACAGAAACATAATATTGTTTGCTTCATCTCGCTTGTAGAAACAACTCAGAGGTTATTTAGAAGAAAAATGATAACAACGAGAAGAGTGGAAGCTGGGACTTGTGAAATATTAAAGCAGCAGAAATATGAGATGATTGGACCCTTTCTGAACTCGAAGCATGGGTACCCCCAACAAAAATTTAAAATTCGGCAAAATATTTGGATTTTTATGATATGTATTGGTTTAATTTGGAGTAATTAATGTGATATGATTGGATTGTTAAATGGAAAACTAATAAAAATATTTTTTTTAAAAAAAAAGGATTACACTGCGCTTATCCAGAAATGGCAACGGTTGCTTTAATTTATGTTGTTGGGGTTGTGGTCACACTAGAACATTGCTTCATATGTGGTGGGATTGCTTCAGTTCAGAGATTCTGGACCCAAATTTTTGACACTATTTCCACCATCACCTCTCAGGTACTGTCTCCAGACCCAGCCCTGGTGCTCCTGTCCTTGGAGCCTGGTACCAGCTCACCCATCATGCACAAATCTCTTGCGTTTATGCTACTTACTGCAGCCAGAATGCCAGTGGCTTCCCATTGGAAATCCAATTCACCACCTTCCTGAGAGGAGTGGCCTGCGAAAGTATGGGATATTGCACTGCCAAAACACCTGGCGCACAAACGGAGAGTCCTTAATAGTTCATCAAAAATAGACTACTTTTATTTGACTTGGTATAAGTTTTTCTCTTGTGCTAACTAGTTTGCACAGCCCAATAAACCCCTTGCTCCATATATAAATATGTTGAGAGGCTTTATCCAGAACTAATTTGACTCACCTTTTTCTTCTTGTATGTGATAAATGTACGTGGCACTGCATTCTCAGTTTTAACCTGGTTTTCCCCTCTCATTTTATTTTTGTTTTTATTTTTTACATTCATTATTCTTACTGCATTTCATATGCACATGTCAATAACCATTCTTTATGAAAAATGACCATAATAATAAAGTTTCTTATTCAAAATGAAAAACTCTTTAATATGTGATACTGAAGTATCCTTTTGGTCACAATATAATGCAAAATATGCCAGCTTTCGGAGGTGCATCTTTTGGACTCCAGTGCTCCTGTGAAATTCTGATGCTTCCCTAGCAACTTGCTAGAGCAGCAAACGGATGATATCATTGCTCTTCTGCAGTGCACACTGTTTTTTCATAATATGGATAAGCCAGCCAAAGAAATCGCCTGCACTGCAAACCACTTCTTAAAGTCATACATTGTTTTGATGAACCCAAAATAAGCAGGATGATGTTCTGAATCTCTGTATCCCAGTTTTGCTGTCACTGCACTCAATAGGGCTTAAACAGAGGCTAGGCTCCCCACTCTACCCGTTTACTCCTGAATGTGAGTTTAGTTTGAAATCCCAGCTTTGGAAGGGAAGCATGCCATCTAACAGGAGAAATGTAGGAAAGGAAAACAAATTTGTAATGCTCAGCTCTGCCTTGATACCAAAAAGAAACAATCCAAGAATCCTTATTCCATTTCTGTGAAGCAACTAGGGTTACATTAACAGTTTGTCCTTTAAAAGCATGTTTGCTCAGATTTTTAAGTGTTTGTGTTTTCATATAAACAGGAAACAAAATCCTAAATAGCTCAAATGAAACCAAATCCTATGACTTTTTAAAATTAAAAACAAAATCAATCTCTCTCCTCTCTTTCCCCTATAAGTGTGTGGTTCCTGAGACAAAGTGGGCTGGATAAGTTCAACCTCAGTTCACAGAAGAGAACATTCTGTTCTCTGCACAACAGGCAGGACTGCTGTAAAACAAGATCAACAACATGAGCTCAGCAGCAGCAGAAGCCCCACAATAGAGACGGAGAATTAGTCAGAGGATTGCTCCATCTACATTGGAAACACACAGAGACAGGAGTGCACATGGATGTGAGATCAAGGTCAGTGAATTAGCTGACTTTCTGCCCTAGGAGCTGTATTGTTGTTCTCCACTTGAAAGGGCTTCTCCCCTCCTCCCTCAATTTAATTACAGCTAAGGCAAGCCCAAGGAAACAATTCTCTGCCCAGTCACAATACGCTCACATGTGCTTTGTGCAGAAGGCAGTTAAAGTGCGTCAGTATTTTTTGTGTCACACGTCTCTGAGTGCTGGATTCCACCAAGATTTTTCACTGCCCTATCTTAATCTCATTGATTTCAGTGGGATTGCACAAAATAATTCAACACAGAATTCACCGGGTTAGTGTTTTGGATTAAAATGGACAAGAATCTGTTTCCTTTACAAATGGAGATAAATATTTTACTGTCCCTTCCAAGCCCTCATCTGTTCAATTAAACCTATTAGCTACCACATCTTAACCTTTATTATTCAGAATGGTCAGTGATTAACTGTTCACACACTTCCAAGACCTTGCCAAAGGTCAGAAGCAATATGAACCTTATTATATGTCTTGCATCTTAAAATCCGTATTTGCAGATGCATTCAGATGCCATGCATGAGCTTATCCCACACTGATGTTGCACATTCAGCACAGCTTTGCAAAGCAGTTGGAAGAATGGTCTCTCGAAGGTGGCGTGCACATAATCCATCCTATGTATTTATTCTTAAAAGGCCTAGGGCTGCTCCAAGACACTTTGCTGCTTGCAGCAAGGGGCAAGATAGAAAAAAACCCTCCCCAAATTCCACATACAGAAACTGAGTGCACTGACAGATGAATCTTACTTCAGTGCTGTTGACACGACAGGGTCCTCTACTAGGGTCCTCCGCTGCACCTGAGAGCAGCAGACTAGCATAGGGAGCATAGGATAGCCCAGGTGGCCCCTCTTGCCACTCCCTGCCACTCAGCATCCACCACCTGAAGCTGCCTCGCTCTGCCTGAATGGTAGGGCTGGCCTTGAACAGAGGCAGTTCTAAAAGCTGCTGCTTCTGTTACACAATACTGTAACTGCATCCTAGTCAGTTCCATATAGCAAGCAGAGAGATAATCAAAGACCAGGGCTTGGGCTGCGAGAGGCGATTGGCTGCATAGGCACATCGTATCCTGTGACTGGCCTGGCCACAGTATAAAGTAGGTATTTTAGATGTTCAAAAACCACTAGTGTGTAATAATCATTTTTGAAAATTTACAGAATGCATTGACATTTCCTGCCAGGAATTCGTGAGGCAGCTCTTACAATGTGTTTCCTTTAAAAAATAAAATGGGAGTGTTGGAAGTTAGGTGAAACAAGGGAAGTTGTCATCCTCCCTTGTGACCTTTCCATGCAAATTGTAACAAATCTCTACCCCAGCAGGCACCAGATGTAGCATGAAGCTCTGACAGCCTTCTTCCTCACAAACTAACCAATCTTTTCTGTCTTTGCATGCCTTGCAAATCTGGGTGCAAGGGCTATAGAAGGCAAACATTCCAAGCTATGAAGAGGAGTGAGGGAAGAAATCCTGTGTAACAAGAATTGGAAGCGGCATGCCTTTTTTTTCCAAAATTGCAACTTGAGGATGTCACTGCGGTTGTTATCACGAAAGCTCAGAATCCTGTCAATCACAGTCAGGACCAATTTGGACAACAGTGCTCCCCACAAGGAGCCCTCAGAACACCTAACCCAGCAGGAGGCTAAGGAAAGGCTTATGCATTTTCTCTTCCTCTTTTTCCAGGCTGCCTGTGCTTTCTAGCCTCACATCCCTCAACAATAGCAGGCACTGAACAAATAGAGTGCATGACAGGGGCTACAGGAAATGGAGCGCAGAGATAGGTGCCATCAGTATAACAACAGCCCCAAATTCCAGGTTCCTCCTGATCTTGTCCAACGACATCATATACACAGAGATGATATGTAAGAGGTGGTGATCTGACCACTCCTGAAAAAACCAACCCTGGACCCAGGGCTTTGTGGCTGCTACTGCCGGCTCGCAAATACCCCATTTCCAGGACATGGGATTGGAAGGGTTGTGGTGCAACAGCTGCAATGAAACCAGTTCTCTGGACCCGTTCCAACAGGGATTCAAGCCTGGTCATGGAAATGAATTGGCCTTGGTCACCCAGATAGATGGCCTTCGTAGAGAGGACAGGAAGAATATGACCCTGCAATTCTTACTTGGTCTTTCAGAGGTTTTTGATACCATTGACCAAGGCAAAGGCACAGCATGGGAGGGGCGAAGGGGACCGTTGCCCCAGGCACAGTTTTTCCCAGGGCACGTTTTGCTCCTCACACCACCCCTGCCAGCCCCGCGCTGCTTTGCCAGCGTGGGGCTGCCAGGGCATCAGGAGGATGCAATAGGCATGTGCCCTTCCCATCAGTTGGATTGGGCGGATTGGAAGGGTGCTTGCCTACCCTGCTGACCCTCCTCACATTGCCCTCTGTGCCCCGCCCCGCCCCCAGCACAACTGGACAAGCCCACCTCAGACACTGGGAAGATGCGCTTCGCCAGTGGACTAGGGTAGCCTCCCAAACCAACAGTGTAAGACGGGTATTGGGGACACTGTTTTGTAGTGACTAAAGTCCTGTCTCCAGAGTTGGTTTCAAATAATAGTGTTGGGTGGTTATCTCTTGGCCCCCTGGCAGTTGTGCTGTGGGGTCTCTGGGGTAGCATCCTGTCCCTGATGCTGTTGGAGAGAGAGGTTTGGAAGAGAGATTCTTTACTCTCTTATAGCAGAATTAAGCACAATGACAAGTGCTACCAAGCACATTAAAACTTGGTTAGATTTACATCTGCCCTCATCCACCTTTAAACAAACATTCTCCACAAAAATACTTAGGCTAGAATAAATCGCCAGCACCTAGTATTGCAAATAAGTGAAGATTTTACTCATAGAGTTTCAGGAGTTACAGCAGACAAGTCTCCATCTGTTGGCAGTAAAACAAAGATAAAATGATTCCAAATGCTTCAAAAGAAAGGACTTGGTTTCCTTGCAAAAAAGATCATGCAATCTTTGGGTTAGCAAAATCAGGCTATGAAAATCTATTTTTGGAGAGATCCAGTTCATTTGGCTTTTCCTGCAGATGAGAGTCTTGCTGCAGCTTGTTCTAGGAAGCAGAGAGAAAAGGAAAGGGGGTGGGAAGCAAAGGCTGCTGGGATCCTGTTAAGCTCCACCCGCAGGCAACTTGAGCTCTAGGTTGGATTGCTGCAATGTGCTTTGTGTGGGGCTGCCGTTTGAGGTTGACTTGGAAGCTGCAACTAGGGTAAAGTGGGGAGCTCCATTGCTCACTGGAGCAGAATATCAGCATCCTCTGACCCCACTGCTCCAAGATTTGTATTGGCTGTCAATTAGCTACTGGGTAAGGTTCAAGGGGCTAGTTTTGGTATACAAAGCCCTATACAGCTTGGGACCGGGATACCTAAGGGGCTGCATCCCCTATAGACAGTCAAACATGGCATTCTGCAGGAAAGGGCATCCTGCAGAGACCATCCTACCGAAAGGTCTGTTCTGCATGATGTCAGAATTGGGCTCTTTCCTTTGGAGCGCCTTCCCTTTGCACAACAGACAAGCACCTTCTCTATTATTTTTTTAGCACCTGCTAAGGAAATTACTCTTTCAACAAGCCTTCTAAAATCTTAATCCCAGTTGGTATCTGTCATGGATTTACATGATTTTATACATGTGTTATTGTTGTTTTAAACTGTTTTTTATTTATAATTTTGATTGTTTGCATATATACAATTGTGTTAACTGTTTTTTTTTATGTGTGCAACACTTTTATATATGTGCTTATATTGTAAATCGCTTCAGGATGCCACATGGGAAGCAATTCATAAATGAAATGAAATTTATAAATAATAGAGGAGATTAAGAAAAGAACTTGCAAAATATATCAAGATAGTTGACAAGCGCCATGCTTGAGTACATCCCATCGAGGAAATATCAGTGCTTAAACAGAGGAAGAACCAAGTTCTACCATGTGGCTTTGACCTGGCAAAATGCAGTCAAACTTGTAACATACTCATTCCTGCGCTACTACCAATCCATCCACACACACCAAATTTGTGGGCGATACTTCTTGAAACTAAGCCCAGATAGAAGGCTGTGTTTTACACATTAAATGTGCAGTTCTGACTCACCCGTTGCACAGAATTCATGTTCCTTTTCTCAGGGAGGTTCTTCCATTTTTTAGAGACTACACTTTTACAACACTTGTATATTTGTGATAGTGAATGTGGCTTAAAATTCCTGATTCCTACCACATTGTAAGCTTTGTTAAAGTAATTTTAAACTAAGCTAAGCTTTTCCCATTCCTCCTGCCATTTTGCGAACATTTTGCTGTTGTAATATTCATTCTTATTTCTGTTAATTTTTTGAAGGCTGCATATTTCCCCTCTGCAGCACTAGATCATACATCTTTCCCTGTTTTTCTGTTTTTTTAAGTGAGTCAGCTATTCCCTGCAGCAAGTCTGCTTCTCCTTTCCTCTCCATTAGAGGAAAGTCGGAGGACAGCATCCTCCTGGTGCTGGGTTGGAGTTACTGTTAATTCTCTAATCAAATCGCAGCTCAAGCGTCAAGAAAAATATACAAGCAATTCTGTCTGCAAGATCAGTACACACGGAAAATTGTTAAAGTAGGCAGATGACAACTTAGCTAGAAGGAGAAAGCAGCCAGAATTTGCTGGGTATTCACCACACAGAACAGTTCTGACAGATGACACTTCCCCATTGCAATGGCAACGAAGACATTCTTACATTACTGTCAGTGCTGTGGAAAAGCTTTTTAAGATCTCTCCTGCAATTGGTTGGCTTCAATGCAAATTGAGAGCCACCTGCCTGCTAGATGTCCACCTTTCCACTTCACTCCCCTTGGCTCTTCCACTGCAGAGCCCTGGTGCAGTGAAGAATTAAAGCTCTAGGCTTCTTCACATGGCACAAACATTCTAGGGATGAAAATGCCCATCCTGGCATCCATAAAAGGTGGTGGGTATGTTTAAGGGTATGTGTCTGATATCAGACAGACGGAGCCAGTGCTAGCAGGAGCTGATCAGGAAGAGCAAACAGTCATTCATGTGCTATGGATTTTGGAGGGAGCATTTACTGAGCCCTTTCATGGGTGCTATAGGAGGCACCGGTGGGAACAGCTCAGAATGCAGGCACCACTCCGGCGACTCCGGCATAGGTAAATGAGCCATTAAAATGTCTGTCCTTTAGCTCTGCCCGTCATTTCACCCTACCAGGTCAGAGTTTGATCTGAGCATGGTCATTATCACTCTTTTGATTCATGTCATGCCTGTGTACCTTGGGCCTGGCATTAGTGTTTGGCATTTCTAGGTATCTGTCAATGTCCATCGCTGAATAGAGTGAGAGGAGTTAGCCTGTTTCTGCTCCCCCACAGAAACCAGCCAGCTCTGCACAGCCCCCAAATGTCTGGAAAAGGCAGTGGGACTAGGACAGTGGGACATTGCTCTTGTTGAAAAATGGGAAATGGTCCCAGAGGCCCCTAAGATGAAGCAGAAACTACTGGGTTGATCTCCCATTTCCTTATTAGAGAAGCACCTAGCAACAGCAGAGGATGACACTTCATACCCGCCAACATTTCTCCGATGAAAATAGGGACGTCCCATTCCATGATGACCATTTTACTGTATACCCTAGCCACTCTGGGCAGCTTCCAACATATATAAAAACATTAAACATTAAAAAAAATCCTTCCCTATACAGGATTGCCTTCAGACAGCTTGGGGGGTTGGATAACTCCATACCCTCCAACATTTCTCCAATGAAAATAGGGACATCCAAAGGAAAAGCAGGATATTCTGGGATCAAATCAGAAACTGGGAGAGCTTCTATAAATCAGGGACATCTAAGGAAAATAGCGACACTTGGAAAGTCTGACACTTTTGCACTCCTTTGGGCCCTTCCAGCATCCAACTCCCTATTTCAAAGTGTTAATATCACAATAAGTTAAGCGGTAGCAAAACCAAAAGAAATACATGACATTTGTTTCCTCTTCTGACACTGGGTGCTGCTCTCATTGGGAAATAGGGGACTCCACCACCACCCCAGTGTTATTACAGGAACGATGGAGGTGATCAGAGGGAGTGGAGCCCAAAAGAGTGAGCCTTTCACTTTGCTTCCTTCAGCCCCTTTGTCTAGGAAACTAGAGATTGCCTTGGGAAGCGTACCTGGTGGCTGAGTGACAATGCAGCCTCCTCGCATTTTAATGGGGGATGAGTGAACATAGGTAGGACCCCACAGTATACATTAGAGTTCATTCTAGAAACTTTATATTATTGAAGTTATTCACAGGGTTGCATCAAGTTTTTGCAGCTCATGTGATATAAATGCAAACCACTTTTGTCTGTTCATCACACTTTTCATGTGCAGCCACTGTATTTAAAAATGCCACCTCCTCTTTCCATTATTGACTGTCATCTGCTTCCACTGACTTGGCAAACCCACAGGAAGGCTTTGATCATGTTCAGACGGGGGAGGAGGGAAAGAACCGTATTCTGTTCACCCTTCTTCATGTGAATGGATTATCTTCTGTATGAATACTGTTGCCACATTAGTACCCAAATATTCATAATTAATTTCTGGAAGTATCCATGTTTTGATTTCTGCTTCAAAGGGATTCTTTCAAAGCAGTTTTCTTTGCTGCTTTTATCATACCCAAATGATGTACAGCCTGAGTTCTAGAGATGCTCTTTTGAAACGAAGGGCTTTCCCCTAACATCAGTGCACTAGGGGAAACACGGCACGATCCAGCCAAGTTAAGCATTAAGCCCGACTAAACTCAGTGAGAGTGCACGGATCAGTGGCAGTTAGAATTGCTTTCCTTTGAATGGACCGTCCCCATAATGAATATGTTCTTTTGTAAACCACCTTGGTTAGTCTCTCTCCCCACCATGCCCCAATATTTACTCAACCTCAGTCTTGGTTTCTGTGTTTCCTTTGTAGGTGTAAAGCTAAAGGAATTTGTCAGGGGGCTGCCAGCTTTCAGAACCAACACACATGGCAAAAACTGCAGGTCTACAATAAATGAGAACTGACTTCACAGAGACACTTTGATTTATACTACCCCCCCACACACACACACAAATTTTCCAGGTTCTTAAATTCTAGCAACACTAAAACAATTTATTCTGCTTGCAAAAGATGATTTATTCCAAGTATTGTTGTGGCATTGCATAAAGCATTACACATATGCAGGGCTGGCCCAGAACATTTCGTTGCCTGAGGCAGAGCACCAAATGGCATCCAGCAACCACCCACCCACCGATCAAGTCATGGTGTAAAGGTTCCAAGGCCAGCCAAGTTATTTTGGCACCTGGGTCTGAACATCCCACAAGAACCTCTCCCCCTCCCTGGCAGAAAAACACAACAACAATAAATAAAATAACTCACAATTTTCTACCTTTTCATAGCACCCAAAATCCACAGAAATTGACTAGACCATGAAGGTTATGCCACAATAAATTTCTTAGTCGTTTTAAAGTAGCACCCATTGTTTTGCTAGAATACATGGTGTTCCCCTAAATCCTTATTGCCCAAGTACTACTAGCTTCTTGTTCTGAAATCCAAATTGTGAACACAGGAACACAGTACTAATTTCAAAGGTTTACCGTATTTTTCGCTCTATAGGACGCACTTTTTCCCCTCCAAAAATGAAGGGGAAATGTGTGTGCGTCCTATGGAGCAAATGCAGGCTTCAGGAAGCTATCCGCAAGCCTTCGGAGCGCGGCGGGCACTCCCGCCGCGCTCTGAAGGCTTGTGGATAGCACCCTGCAACCCGAAGCCCGGGGAGCGCAGCGCCAACTCCCGCTGTGCACCCCGGGCTTCAGACAGCTATCCACAAGCCTTTTCTTTATTCCCCACCCCTAAAATCTAGGTGCGCCCTATGGTCCGGTGCGCCCTACAGAGTGAAAAATACGGTATTCTCATTTCACTTTTTAATATGTGTACTTTTTAATATGTGTTTCACACAGCCTCTTCTGACTCATGGAGCGGAAGAGCTATGTATAATCAGTGTACCGATGACATCTTGATCCAAAACTCTAAAGGAGCACTCCCACTGGCTTCATATGCACATTATAGGAACACGGGTGGTGCTGTGGTCTAAACCACTGAGCCTCTTGGGCTTGCGAATCAGAAGGTTGGCAGTTCGAATCCATGCGACAGGGTGAGCTACCGCTACTCTGTCCCAGCTCCTGCCAACCTAGCAGTGCGAAAGCACGCCAGTGCAAGTAGATAAACAGATACCGCTGTGGTGGGAAGGTAAATGTTTTTTCCGTGCGCTCTGGCTTCCATCATGGTGTTCCATTGTGCCAGAAGCGGTTTAGTTCTACTGGCCACATGTCCTGGAAAGCTGTCTGTGGACAAATGCCGGCTTCCTCAGCTTGAAAAGTGAGCTGAGCGCAGCAACCCCATAGTCGCCTTGGACTGGACTTAAACATCCAGGGGTCCTATACCTTTTTACATATTGAACAGCACTGGGGAGAAAACAGGATGATGTGGAACCCCATAGCAAAAGTGCCAGAGGGCTGAGGAACACTCACCCAGCCAATCGACTTCCGGGTTAGCGCTTCCGGCAATGGCGGATTTCCTCTGATCGGGAGGAATCCGCTTCCTGAGAATTAGGGTCTGGACCGCCACGGTGAGGCGGAGACCCACCAAAAACCACAGGCGGGAGAAGCCTGTGGACGTGGGATTCGGCTGGCACCTTCTGCGCCTCCCCTACTCGCGGGGAAACCCGGTTTCGGGGATCTGGAGCGACGTGGGGTAAATGGCGCGGTGCTTCGAATCGACTGCTCTTTTCACGGAGTGAAGCCGCATTGCTGTTGCCGGAGAGCGCTGACTTTTTCCTGTGAACAATTGGATTTTAATCAACTGCCCGTGAGTAGAACGGAAAATCGGACTATGAAACTTCTTAATTTGGCACTGAAGCGGGAAGGTCTAAACAGGAAGTCTGCCTTCCGCTTTTGTAAATAGAGTGAAGCAAAGACATTGCAAGCTAGAGTCTGGAAAGTCGTTTGTAAAGGACTAAATTTCCATCAGTTAAAATTACTAAACCCCCCTTGGGAGCAGGAGAAGAGGGGGGAAATCTTAGACTGTTTAAACCTGCAGAAGAGAGATAATTTCCATTGTCTTGAACCTGGGAGCGGGGTGTCAGAGACAGACGTTTTGGGGAAGTTCATTGACTGTGGATAAAACATTCTTTTTTTTGACAGATAGTTAAAAAAGAGAAACATTTTGATTCCAATGTTCCCTTTTGCACTTAAAAGGAACAAAATATCTGAAAAAAGAAATAAATTTTGTTGCAGGATCTGCTTTAAAAAAAAAAAGACGGATACAAACAGAAATTGTTTCCTCTAGAGGGAGCTTGTGAAACTGTTGCTGGAGTCGATCTGGGGATTTCCACAGTTCTAGAGATTAAGATCGTGACACCAGACATTGACCTTGAACAAGAATGTGCCCAGAAGAAGCTTTAGTGCTTGCTTTTTGCAAGACAAGTGCTTTACTGGAACAGTTACATGAGAAGATGGATTTGATGACTGTTGCAGTTGGCAAATTTGGACAAACAGTGAATACTCATATAAAAACCACTCAGGAATTGGTCCAGGAATGTGCCTTGGCAGGGCAAGTTGTGAGGAAGATGGAGGAGGAGGTTGTTGCTGGTGGAAGTGGAGAGAGCTGTGGCCTTGCAGGAACATAGGTTGTTGTTTCTGACGACTGAACCTGGAGAAAGTCAGATTTGGAGAGATGGAGTACTGTTTGGTTTGGAGATGGGAAGTTGGATAGACCCCCCCTATGCAGGGATGTTTTGACTTCTCGGATTTGGTTTTGGGTCAGGGGGAGTTTGGAGTTGTGGGGGCCCTTAACCTTGGAGGGACTTTGAAACATGCCTTCAAATATCTTTTGGATGTCAGTGCTGACTATGGAGAATGGGCTGACTTGTTGAGAAGGGATAAAGATATTGTCAAGTTGGAGTCTCCCCGAGAGAAAGGAAGGAAATTAAGAATAAGATCAGCAGAAGATAAAGTAAAGTGCAGGTATAAACATGAAGAAGACCTGCAGAAGGGACATGGAAAAGACTTAAGAGCCTCGGATAAAAGGTCACCAGGTTGATGGACTAAATGGATGGAACAGAAAGGACTGACAAAACCCGACACCAGGAAGAAGAGACGACGGATGAAGATTGGAAGAAAGTTTTAAAAAATTAATTTAGAAAATCATTGTAAAATTAATGAGTACTAGAAAAATGTTGGAATGAAACTATTTGGCTTTAGTAGAAATGTTAAAAAGAATTATGTATAAATATGTTTTGTGAAAAAGAATTAGGTATAAATAAGATTTAAGTTTTAAGCTTTAGGGTTTTTTATGGTAAGATAAGGTTAAAATAGAATCATAGAATCATAGAGTTGGAAGAGACCACAAGAGCCATCGAGTCCAACCCCCTGCCAAGCAGGAAACACCATCAGAGCACTCCTGACATATGGTTGTCAAGCCTCTGCTTAAAGACCTCCAAAGAAGGAGACTCCACCACACTCCTTGGCAGCAAATTCCACTGTCGAACAGCTCTTACTGACAGGAAGTTCTTCCTAATGTTTAGGTGGAATCTTCTTTCTTGTAGTTTGGATCCATTGCTCCGTATCCGCTTCTCTGGAGCAGCAGAAAACAACCTTTCTCCCTCCTCTATGTGACATCCTTTTATATATTTGAACATGGCTACCATATCACCCCTTAACCTCCTCTTCTCCAGGCTAAACATGCCCAGCTCCCTTAGCTGTTCCTCATAAGGCATCGTTTCCAGGCCTTTGACCATTTTGGTTGCCCTCCTCTGGACACGTTCCAGTTTGTCAGTGTCCTTCTTGAACTGTGGTGCCCAGAACTGGACACAGTACTCCAGGTGAGGTCTGACCAAGGCAGAATACAGTGGCACTATTACTTCCCTTGATCTAGATGCTATACTCCTATTGATGCAGCCCAGAATTGCATTGGCTTTTTTAGCTGCCGCGTCACACTGTTGGCTCATGTCAAGTTTGTGGTCAACCAAGACTCCTAGATCCTTTTCACATGCACTGCTCTCAAGCCAGGTGTCACCCATCTTGTATTTGTGCCTCTCATTTTTTTGCCCAAGTGCAATACTTTACATTTCTCCCTGTTAAAATTCATCTTGTTTGTTTTGGCCCAGTTCTCTAATCTGTCAAGGTCGTTTTGAAGTGTGATCCTGTCCTCTGGGGTGTTAGCCACCCCTCCCAGTTTGGTGTCATCTGCAAATTTGATCAGGATGCCCTTGAGTCCATCATCCAAGTCGTTGATAAAGATGTTGAATAAGACCGGGCCCAAGACAGAACCCTGTGGCACCCCACTAGTCACTCTTCTCCAGGATGAAGAGGAACCATTGATGAGCACCCTTTGGGTTCGGTCAGTCAGCCAGTTACAAATCCACTGAGTGGTAGCATAGTCAAGACCGCATTCTACCAGCTTCTTTACAAGAATATCATGGGGCACCTTGTCAAATGCCTTGCTGAAATCAAGGTAGGCTACATCCACTGCGTTCCCTTCATCTACCAGGCTTGTAATTCTGTCAAAAACGAGATCAGGTTAGTCTGACATGACTTATTTTTCAGAAATCCATGCTGACTATTGGTGATCACAGCATTCCTTTCTAGGTGCTCACAGACTGTTTGCTTAATGATCTGCTCCAGAATCTTCCCTGGTATTGATGTCAGACTGACTGGGCGGTAATTATTTGGGTCCTCTCTTTCCCCTTTTTGAAAATAGGGACAACATTTGCCCTCCTCCAGTCTGCCGGGACTTCGCCTGTTCTCCAGGAATTCTCAAAGATGACTGCCAGTGGTTCTGAGATCACATCTGCCAGTTCTTTTAATACTCTTGGATGCAGTTCATCTGGCCCTGGAGACTTGAATACATCTAAACTAGCCAAGTATTCTTGTACTATCTCCTTAGTTATTCTGGGCTGTTTCCTCTGCTGAATCATTTGCTCCAAATTCTTCAGGTCGGGCATTGTTTTCTTTATCGGAGAAGACTGAGGCAAAGAAGACATTGAGGAGTTCAGCCCTTTCTGTGTCCCCTGTTTGCATTTCACCATCTTCTCCTCTGAGTGACCCCACTGTTTCTTTGTTCTTCCTTTTGCTACAAACATACCCATAAAAGCCTTTTTTGTTGCTTTTAACCTCTCTAGCAAGCCTGAGTTCATAGATTAAGGTAATTTAATGACAGAATATTGTGAAAGATGGAAAGGATTTGCTGAGATAATTAATAACTAGAATACAAAAAAGGGAGGTGTGAGGAGGTCGATGAAACAAGTTAATGAAAGATAAAGATTTGGGAGTATTGGATTTGCTTTTAAATTTTTTGTTTATTTTTGTTTTTTTATTCTGATGTATTGGGTGTTTTGTTTTTTTGTGTGTGTGTGTGTTTTTTACCTTTGTTTTTATTGACTTATATTGTTTGATCTCTTTTTTTGTATACCTTTTTTCCTTTTCTTTTTTCTTGCTTTTTCCTCTCTCTTTATGTAATTTTAAATTTTCAATAAATATCATTTTTTTTAAAAAAAAAGGAACACTCACCCAGTGCTACTCTCTGGACACGAGTCTGAAGATACAGATGGAACCACCGTAATTCAGTGCCACCACCAACTTTGCAAAGCAAGGGGTGTTGGTGACCAGTCTATAGTTATTACACTGGGGCTAGAGTGGGTTTTTTAGAAGTGGATGCACCACCACCTCTTTAAAGACAGTAGACTCCACTCCATCATGCAAGTATCTGCTTACCACACCTCTGACCCATTCAGTCACCCCACACCAGTTAGCTTTAATAAGCCAGAGTGAGCAGGTATGCTGTCCACATCATCAGGCTGCATTGACTGAAACTGATCCCACAACACGGAGCTCGACATTGCATTGGACATCTCAGTTGGCCCTGTCACACTTGCAGCACCTCAACTGTCATCCAGTTACAGTTGGTCTCCACGTGCTCCAGAGGTCCACCTTGATGGACAGGAACAACCAACCTCCAGACCACATGAAACAACTCTGCCAGACAGTTTCCCAAGGATGCCATAGGGGCAATGAAGGAGGATCTCTTTTCTTCCCTCACTGCTACATAGTAGGCCCATTTATGAGCTGGAACATGTGCTCAGTCAGCTCCTGAGAGAGATTTACATCACTTACACTCCAACCCCTGCCCAATCTGTTTCATCAATCACAGCTCCTCATTATACCAAGGACCAAAATGGATTCCACAGCACCAGAGGGGGCAATCATGTCAATTGCCCTTGTACACAGTAGTGACATGGAAATCCAATCTACTAGTAGACCTTGCTCCCCCTGGCGACTCATTGACTGAGCTTGTTGAGGGCTGGAATACCCAGCTCCTGGCAGCCATAGATGAGATCGCACCTAAGCGCCCTCTGCGACTCCGCAGAAACCGGGCTCCCTGGTTTACCGAGGAGCTTCGGAAAATGAAGCGGGACCTCAGACGGCTAGAGCGAGTATGGCAGGGTGCCCGTGACGGAGCCTCAAGAACATCTTATAGGGTTTTTATGAAAACCTATGAGATGGCGGTGAAGGCTGCTAAGAAGTCTTACTTCTCGGCCTCCATTGCATCCGCTAGCTCTCGCCTGGCGCAATTATTTAGTATAATTAGGTCTTTAACATCCCTTGAAGGACAGCCAAATTTAAATAACAATCTGACACACAGCTGTGAGGCATTTGCGAGCTTTTTTGCGGAGAAGGTCCTGTTGCTCCGCCATGACCTCCCTGCCAATTTGGATACAATAAAGGAACTGGAGGCCCCTCGACTGTCCTCGGGTCCAGTATTGGACCACTTTGATCGGATATCCCCAGCCGATGTGGACAGACTCCTCCGAGCTGGAAAGCCCACCACCTGTCCTCTTGACCCGTGCCCGTCTTGGCTGATTAGAGCGTGTCCAGACGAGGTGCGGGCCCCTGGGGATATCATCAATTTGTCCCTTGGCACCGGGATATTTCCAGTGGAATTGAAGGAGGCAGTGGTGCGCCCGCTCTTAAAGAAAACATCATTAGATCCCTTAGATCTATCCAATTACCGCCCGGTTTCGAATCTTCCATTCCTGGGTAAGGTGATTGAGAGAGCGGTTGCTGAACAGCTTGGTAGGTTTCTGGATGAAACATCAGCTCTGGATCCATTCCAGTCTGGCTTCCGCGCTGGTCATGGGACCGAGACGGCTCTGGTCGCCCTAACAGATGATCTCCGCAGGCAGCTGGATCGAGGCGGGTCGGGGCTGCTGATTCTTCTAGACCTGTCAGCAGCCTTCGACATGGTTGATCACGAACTCCTGGACCACCGCCTTGCCGACGTGGGGATCCAGGGCACAGTCCTTCAATGGCTGCGCTCGTTTCTCTCTGGTCGGGGACAGAGGGTGGCGCTTGGGGGGGAATTGTCATCCCGCCACTCCTTGGTGTGTGGAGTGCCTCAGGGTGCGATACTCTCCCCGATGCTTTTTTAACATCTTTATGCGCCCCCCTCGCCCAGCTTGTCCGGAGTTTTGGGCTGGGTTGCCATCAGTATGCCGATGACACCCAACTCTATCTGTTGATGGATGGCCATCCTGACTCGGCCCCAGACACACTGACCAGATGTTTGGAAGCTGTGGCTGGATGGTTACGTGGAAGCCGGTTGAAGTTAAATCCTTCAAAGACAGAGGTCCTCTGGCTGGGACGGGACGATATGGGATTGGGGGGGCAACTCCCATCTCTTGCGGGGGGGTGCAATTAGTGCCAGCACCGTCCGTTAAGAGTTTGGGTATAATCTTCGATACCTCCCTCTCTATGGAGGCGCAGATTACAGCTATAACAAAGGCGGCATTTTTCATCTCCGCCAAGCTAAGCAGTTGGCCCCTTATCTCTCTCGCCCTGACCTAGCCACTGTGATCCACGCGACGGTCACCTCCAGACTGGATTATTGTAACTCGCTCTACGTGGGGCTGCCCTTGAGACTGACCCAGAAACTCCAGCGGGTGCAGAATGCCGCGACGAGACTCCTTATGGGGTCTTCGCTGCGAGATCACATTCATCCGGTACTATACCAGCTGCACTGGCTCCCGGTGGAGTACAGGATCAGGTTTAAGGTGCTGGTTTTAACCTTTAAAGCCCTATACGGCCTAGGACCCTCGTACCTACGGGACCGCCTCTCCTGGTATGCCCCACAGAGGAACCTACGGTCTGCAAATAAAAACATCCTGAAGGTCCCAGGCCTCAGAGAGGTTAGGCTGGCCTCAACTAGAGCCAGGGCTTTCTCGGCTGCGGCTCCAATCTGGTGGAACGCTCTGTCACAAGAGACTAGGGCCCTGCGGGACCTGACATCTTTCCGCAAGGCCTGCAAGACAGAGTTGTTCCACCAGGCCTTTGGTCAGGGCCCAGCCTGACTCCCTCCTCTGGCAACCTGCACAGAACTTTGCTTAACGGTTGCCATTAATTTGATTTTAATTAATTTTTATAATGAAATGTTTTAGAATGTTGGATTATTTGATTGTTTGATTATTTGTTTGTTGTTAGCCGCCCTGAGCCTGGCTTTGGCTGGGGAGGGCGGGATATAAATAAAAATTTTTATTATTATTAGTAGTAGTAGTAGTAACATTACAGGACAGACTTATCCCACATGCTTTGTACCCATAGCTGCTGCAGCTACATCACCTTTGCAGCCCATGGCTATGCACAGTTATGGGCCTAAGTTACTTGATCTGTCAAAATGATTTTTTATTGAAAGGGGGTGATTCAATGAGCTAATATTAAAATATTGCTTCTTTTGATAAATCAACAGTTGGCATTTTTCTGGTTCCATACCACAGCTTGTACTAAGTGAAGAAACAAAGTCATTGCCAGGAATATCAACTCACAGATACAAATACAACTGTTGAAATATCCAAGCTCTGAAACTTGCCACTGCCTCTGCTCTGTTTCCAGCTACTGGCATAGGAGCAAGTGATTACTAGGGTGATGGATTATCCGAGAAGGTCTAAAGTTCACAGGACAATAGTTCTTTGCATTTATGCTGAGGGGACTGGATGGACTTTTCCACATATATCCTGAATTTCAACAAGTAGCATTTTGGAATTAAAAGCCAGCAACAATGTGCTGCAGCAGTCATTGGATTAAACATAATTCAACAACAAAGCAGCTGGAACTGCAAGGTGCATAAGATAGTTGATGCCCTATACTCTTCTCACCCCCCCCCGAGGCAGAATTTGGTGACTACTTCAGTTGACAAATGCTGGCAGTGGGGAGCAGGGGCAGCTATATGGTTGTTCCTGCTGAGCCCCCTGGCTCTTTCCTTCTGTGTTTTTTTTTTAAATAATATTTATTACTTTTATAGATTACAAAAAGAGAGGAAAAAAAGCAAAAGAGAAAAAACAGAAGAAAAAACAAAAAAAAACAAAGAGAGAGAGAAAAAACACACAATACAATACAATATATAAACAATACAAAACACAACCTAAACTCAAAACTAGACACATTAAGCTAAACTAAACAAACCCCACTCCCCAAAACAAAAACAATTTAAAAACATACATCCTCTCTTTTCCATACTCTATCTTTCGTTCCCTTGTTTCCTCGACCTCCTCACACCTCCCTTTTTGTGTTCCGCTTCTATTAATTGTTTCAGCAAATCCTTTCCATCTTTCTCCATTTTCTGTGATATTGTAAATAGCGTATTATTTTAACCTCATTTTCCATTAAAACTAAATTACTTATATGTGCTTAACTCCTTATAACATTTCTGTTAAGCCCATAAAAAATAAAAAATCATTCCACCATTTTTCTATCACTCATTAGTTTTACCATAAGTCTATATAAAAACTTTAAATTTTCCAATCTTCTTCCACCATCTCCTCTCCCAGGTTTCGGATTCTGCCAGTCCTTTCCGTCAATTCCATAAAGTCCATCAACCTGGTGATCTTATGTCCGAGGCTCTTAACTCTTTTCCAAGTCCCTTCTGCAGGTCTTCTTCATTTTCTTTAATGCTAAAGAGCCAATCTCAGGGAAATTCCAACCTGTCAATCCTTTTCTTCCTTCTGAACAAATCAGCTGAGTTTCCATAGTTAAAACTACAGTCCATAAAGTATTTCCGGGTATATTTCAAAATTCCTCCAATTCCAAAGGCCCCCAAAACTTCAATCTCCTCCAGGCCCGAGTCCATGTCCCAAAAGTCAGTTAATCCCTGCATAGAGGGCTCTTTCCAACTTTCCTTCTTTAATCCAAACCGGGATCCATTCCTCGGAGTCTGGCTTTTCCTGGATTCAATCATAGAAGGCCTCAACTTATAATCTCCAATTTGCTTCTGTAAATCCACAGATCTCACTTGTATTATTTTATGTTGAACAACAGCTGCATTCTCCTTCTCCTCCACCATTTGTCCTGCCAAAATGGGTTCCTGTACCAAGTCCTGAATTATTTCTGTGTTAGTGTTCATTTTTTGACTCAGGTTGGTCACTTTCTGTTCCAAATTATCAACTTTGAGAGTCATATCATCCATCTTCTTGTGAAGCTGTCCCAGCGAACAGCTTATCTTACATAAAAGAGTCACAATGGCCTCTCCTGTCAACATTTTTAAATGGTCCAAGGTCGCTCTCTGGTTCTCAGAATCCTTATCTGCAGCTGGAAATCCCCCAGTTACAGTCCTCTAACAGTTTCAAAAGCTCCCTCTAGCAGGAAACAGTCTCCACTTGTATCAGTTCTTTCAGGCACAACTCAAGCATTAAAGATAAAATTTCAGTTACTTTTCCTCTCTTTTTTTTTAAACACAGAAAGGGACAATGAAAACAGTATCTTACTCTTGTTTAGCTAGCTGTCAAATCCGTTCTGTCAAAAGCACTCTCTCCAAATGTCATCTGGCAGCCCGTTCCCAGGTTCAGAGCAGTGGTAATTTGATTTTTTCACTCTCTCCTGCAGGCTCACTAGATCCAAAATTTCCCCCTCTTCTCCTGCTTCCTAAGGGGGTTTTGTAACTTTAAACCGGTGGAAATTTGATCCTTTCCCAAAAGCTTTCAAAGGCTTTACTTGTAACGTCTTTGCTTCAGTCTATTTACAAAAACGGTAGGCGGACTTCCTGTTTATAACCTTCCCGTTTCAGTGCCAAATTGAAGTATTTAAAAATCCAAATTTCCGTTTTACTCACGAGTAGTTGTTTAAAATCCAATTGTCCACAGGAAAAAGTCAGCGCTCTCCGGCAACAGCAATGTGGCTTCACTCCGTGAAAGAAGCAGTCGATTCAAAGCACCGCGCCACTCACCCCACGTCGCTCCGGATCCCCAAAACAGGGTTTCCCCGCGAGTAGGGGAGGCGCAAAGGTGCCAGCCGAATCCCACGTCCACAGGCTTCTTCCGCCTGTGGTTTTAAATGGGTCTCCGCCTCGCCGTGGCGGTTCAGACCCTGTTTTTCACGGAGCGGGTTCCTCCCGATCGGAGGAAATCCGCCATTGCCAGAGGCGCCAACCCGGAAGTCTCTGGCTCTTTCCTTCTGTAGGAGGACCCGCAGCTGTGTGCCCTAGCCTGTGCCTCCAGAGCTAGCCTGCTGCCCTCAGGCCTGGTGGAGTAAAATTTAACAGCCACTCTCGGCAGCTTCTGCATGCAGAAAGTGGGTGGGAGTGGTATAATTGGAGCAAACACAAATCTGTGGAAAAGCTGAATTGCCATTTCTTGCGCTTCAGCTTTAAAGAGAGAGTTTTTACAGGGAAAGATGGGACATGGCACTGCAAAGCATGGACCTGTGCCTGGACCTGTGCAGAGCAACAGGTGTGTTTCCGAGCACAATTCAAAGGGTTGGTGCTGACCTTTAAAGCCCTCAACAGCCTCGGCTCTGTATACCTGGAGGAGCGTCTCCACCCCCTTTGTTCTGCCCGGACACCGAGGTCCAGCGCCGAGGGCCTTCTGGTGGTTCCCTCCCTGTGAGAAGCAAAGCTGCAGGAAACCAGGCAGAGGACCTTCTCGGTAGTGGCGCCTGCCCTGTGGAACACACTCCCATCAGAAGTCAAGGAAATAAACAACTATCTGACTTTTAGAAGACATCTGAAGGCAGCCCTGTTTAGGGAAGTTTTTTTAATTTATTGTTTTATCCTGTTTTTACTATTCTGCTGGGAGCCGCACAAAGTGGCTGGGGAATAAATGTGCCAGATGCGCAGGGCATAAATAATAAAATTGTTGTTGTTGTTAGGATAAGTCTTAGATTCCGATCACAGATGGTACTCATCATCTTTGCCATGGGATATGCCAAGCAAAGGAAAACACGGAGCTGGAACAAGGAGTTGTGTGCCATATGCAGGCTCCCGAGAGGTCCAGGAGAGCTAAAAAGGTGCCCTCTCCCTCTCCCCAGCCCAAACCATCCACTAGGGCACCAACCAATCCTGTTTCCATTCCATAACTGGATTAAAATGGATCTAAATGATCACTTTTCTCCAAGACTGTCTGGAAGAGACTGCAAACCTTAAGGTGACCTTCCTCAGATGGTGAGAACAGTAAATTGAGTTCACTTCCTGACAATTATTTATGATATTTGCTACAGTTTATAAACAGTAAAAGTATCCTCATCGCAATACAACGTAGAAATGGAGCTGCATTTGTGAAGTGTTTTGGGGAGAGGTTGGTGGGGGGAGGGGAGTCAAATAAAAGGCATGCAATGCTGACCTAATTAAGACTGCTAGACTGCAATGAGGTTCCAGAATCCAAATAAGCAGACAAGAATAGATTAAGCTCTGCCATTTCACTGTTGACTGAGTAATAGACCACACATTTCATTTACAGGTGATTTGCACAAAAACAGGATTTTGTGCCAGCACTCAGTTAGAAGAGCTAATTAATAAAAATATTTTAAAAGGATAAGACGCAACAGAGTTGATAAGCCAGTAGTACCGTATAAAATCCAGATGTGTCATTTGCAGCTCCTTGTAAAGAGTAGATCTCCCTGGTAACTGTTGGTGTTACAGTTCATCTCTTGATTTCGCAGGCCTTTACATGAACTTTACAGGTAGGCCCTTTACATGAACTAGGAATAAACCAGGAAGTCTCTGATTAAACAGAGTTTCCCCTTTTGTCAAAATTGGGAATCTATGGTTAGCATAAACCAGGATCTTAAACCAACTGACAGCTGTGAAGGGAAGAGTTATCCTTCACATCTCATTGCTCAGTCAAGCTAGGTTCACCACTCCAGAAGGGAATGTGCCCCTCAGGCTTTAAAAGGTTCCCCACCAAGCAGGCATGCCTAGAATTGCACTGCAAGTGGTCTTGCACTCGCTTCCACCTTGCACCACAGTAGCAACCATGCAACTGCATTAAAGCATCAAAACTCTGCAAGATCCCAAGTAAGAGCCAGTGTGGTGTAGTGGTTAAAAGCGGTAGTCTCGTAATCTGGGGAACCGGGTTCGCGTCTCCGCTCCTTCACATGCAGCTGCTGGGTGACCTTGGGCCAGTCACACTTCTTTGAAGTCTCTCAGCCCCACTCACCTCACAGAGTGTTTGTTGTGGGGGGAGGGAGGGAAAGGAGAATGTTAGCCGCTTTGAGACTCCTTAAAGGGAGTGAAAAGCGGGATATCAAATCCAAACTCTTCTAAGGCAAATATGAGGTGTGGCATGGGAGATGCAATGGCATGGTGTTCGTGATCATGTCTGAATAATGGTTTCTAGAGTTAGGATAGGATACTGTTGCTTACTGATTATCTTCCTTTTCACCATTGTATTCCTTCTTCCCTCAGCAGAGTTCAAGGTGCCATGTTGTTGTTTAGTCGTTTAGTCATGTCCGACTCTTTGTGACCCCATGGACCAGAGCACGCCAGGCACTTCTGTCATCCACTGCCTCCCGCAGTTTGGTCAAACTCATGCTGGTAGCTTTGAGAACACTGTCCCACCATCTCGTCCTCTGCCGTCCCCTTCTCCTTGCGCCCTCCCTCTTTCCCAACATCAGGGTCTTTTCCAGGGAGTCTTCTCTTCTCGTGAGGTGGCCAAAGTCTTGGAGCCTCAGCTTCAGGATATGTCCTTCCAGTGAGCACTCAGGGCTGATTTCCTTCAGAATGGAGAGGTTTGATCTTCTTGCAGTCCATGGGACTCTCAAGAGTCTCCTCCAGCACCATAATTCAAAAGCATCAATTCTTCGGCGATCAGCCTTCTTTATGGTCCAGCTCTCACTTCCATACATCACTACTGGTCAAGGTGCCATACACAGGGTTATTCCATTTCCTCCTCACAACCACCTGAATAAATTACAATAAGAAATAATGACGTACCCAAGATCATCCAATGAGCTTTTAGCACCACCTTGGCCACTGAGTCTTCTTTGTGCAACCACATGCTGCGTATGCTTGTCTGCAGAGACATTCCAGTGAGGGAGCACTTGCTCATGCCTGGGAGCTCCACACAATCAGGACACCTGCCCAACCTGAGTCGTGTGGTGCTCCTACACGAGCAGGTGTCCATGTGCTGGAACTTCTCTGCAGACCACTATCCCATCCAGTCATTGCAGGAAGACCTGGTGGTGGGGCAAGGCTAAAAGTGCAGCCCTGCTCTGCTGTCAATGCAAATATGCCCTGCACACTTGTTAACACATGAGACTCTTGAGATGTAGAAATGTGCAGCTGTAGAGCTTTTTAGCAATGACCTCCCTAGCTATAATCTCCTAAAGAGAAGAGAGGCCTGTAGAAAACACAGAAATGCACTATTGACACTTAGCAGAAGTTGGGCATATTGTCTGAGGAACTGTCATGTCAAACTTTGAAGAGGTAGAAGCAAATTTGGAGACCTATGAAACCAGTCAGGCTGTATAAGAAACTGGGCTGCAAACAGTCCTGTGTGAAGCTCATGCCTTCCCATTATCTCCATCCTGTAGTTCAAGCTTCAAATAGGTAAGAGGACCACTTTTCCCCATTACTCCATCTAAGTTACTCTGTGGATGTCCTTGTGGCTATTTTATAGATTTGTCAAATCCATATGATATGTGCATGTGCTAGCCTGTTCTCACAGATGGCACTATCTTCTTCCGGCGACGGGCTGAAAGGAGCAAATTCTGAAAATGTTGCATTATCTCCTCATTTAGGAGGAGAGCATTTAGGGACTGTAATTAAGGAGGTGTTGGAAGATTTTTACATCACGTTTTTCAAGAAAGGTTTTGCAATATTGTTCTGTTTGGAGAAGAGCTATCCCTTTTGATCGTTCTCCCCGCTCCCCGCCCCCAAAAACGTCTGGCTGAGAAACAACACTCACTCCACCCCCGCCCGTCTGCCTGCGTGTGTGCTCAGGCCGCCCGAATGGAGCGTGCAAACGGGGCGCCCACCTCCTTCCCTTCCCGGCCCCCACGATGCCTCTGCATCTGCCCAGATTTCAACTCCCGCCCGTCCTGGAGGAGGTAAACAAGCCCCAAGCCGCCGCCTCCTCCTCGGCTCCGCAGCGCCGCCTGGAAGCGCGTCTCGGGCCCGCCTGGCCGCGAGAAGGGCTCTGGGGCTGCTCCGTCCCTCCGCGGCCCGGCAGGAGGACTCTCCCTCCCGCCCTCCCTTCCTCCGCCATCCCCGCAAGCCCCCGGGAAGGAGGCGGGAGGCAGGGCCCGGCCGGGGGGGGGGCGGCGAGGAGGAGCCCCATCTGCTCCCTCCCTCCCTCCCTCCCTCCGCCTCGCGCGGCCCTGCGGGGGCGCCTGCGCAGAGGGAGGGGCGGGGGCCTTGCGAGGCGAAGGGCGGGGCTGGCCAAGGAGGGAACAGAGGGTTATTCGAGGTGAAGCGGGGCGGAGTCGCGCCGAGGGGGCGGGGCCGGAGGAGGGAGGGAGGGAGGACGAGGCGTCGAGAGAAGGGGGGGCGGGGGGCGTGTGCCCCATTCCTCGCTGCTTGGCCGCGGGACCCGCGCTGCTCTCTGGGTGCTTCTGGGGCTCGGCAAGGGGGTCGTGCCCGTGGGGCACGTGTCAGGTCACCTCCAGAGGGGGCTGCGGGGGACCAGCGTGGGGATCTGGTGACTGAAGCGAGCAGCGCCTCTGATGCGGGGCGGGGGGGGGGCGGGGAGGAGGAGGATGGAACAAAGTGTTCGAAAAACCAGCCCCAGGAAGCGCATCCCTCTGACTCACAGGGAAAAGCTGCAGGCAGGAGCAGCAGCAAAAACAGCCCCCATCTCGGCGAATGTGTCATTTGCGTACATGCGTGCTACGGAGGGGGGGCGGCCTTTTCTTAAGAGGAGGGCCCTGTGGTGCCCCCCAGCGTGTACTGCTATGTCTAATCGTGCTATTTATAAATATGTACCAGCCCGGGTTTATTTATTTCTCTCTCTCTCTTAAGCCCGCGTGGGCGGCGTATCCTGAAGCCCCCTCCCCCCCCCCGCAAGTAGGTGGCTGCGCGCGTGAGAAAGCGAGGGGGGAGCGGCCTCCTCTTCCTCGCAAGCAAGCCATCCGCTCTCCCTAGGAGCTGTCATATGGGGGGGGGGGCGGAGAGGGTGTGGGAGGCACCTGATTGCAATACTTCATTTGTGCCGAGCAAACGTGCCAGGCTGTCAGATCTTGCATTTGCCCTTAAAAATAAAAAAGTACAGGGAGCCCCGCGGGGGGTCGAAAAGAAGGTCTGCAGCAGCTTCCCCGGCGCCCCAGGGCGAAAAAAGGGACGCGGTGATCCGGCGTTTCCTCCGACTGACACGCAGGCTGATGACGGCCGGGGCCAGAAGTCACGCAGCCCCCCCCTTGCTCCCCCCTCCACCCCCCCTGCCTGCCTGCCTGCCTGTCTGTCTCCGAGGTGGAGGTGCTAATTTCAGTGCGGCTCACGTGGGTCCGGGCTCCCTGCGCTTCCTGCACGAGCTGGGGGCGGGCTTACCAGCCCCCAATCTAGGGCAGTTTGTTCAACTGCAGTAAAGGGAGCTCGATGTTCCAGCAGCGAAGGGATTTCTGAGAACTGGGACTGTGTCCTCAGATGAACTCTCCTCCTCCTCCTCCCCCTCCCTTCTGCTGCCTGCAGAACAGCTTTAAAAGGGCGATGTCTGTACTTTTGCCTGAGCAGCGCGTGGCTTCGGTGCACGTACATCTGCAGCCTGCAGTGCAGTCGCTTGGTGCGGCCCCACCACCATTCGCTCTGCATTAAAGAGGCGAAGGCTGCTAAACTTCGGCAAACAAAGTTGTGTGGAGGGGCTCGGGGACGGTTCGGGGACCTCAACAACTCCGTGTTGTAAGAAACGTGGTACACGTAGCCAGTTCCCTATACTGTACGTGCAAGCAGCCGAATACTTGCTCACATCCCTCGATGTGGAGAATTGTTCTTCCTGAAGGCAGAGCACCGTTTCAGCCCTCCCACCGCTTCGCCGCCCCTCCCCGCCTCCGCTTTCTGCAGATTTCCTGTACAGAGTACATTTCCTAAAATGTGTCATTAGCAGAAGCAGTTGTACTAGGGCAGTTCTGAAGAGCCTTGCATCCCTTCATAATGCCTCGCCTCACTCAAGACAGACAACAGGATCAATTCCCTCTTTGTCTCTTCATCTCACATTCTTCGGTTCTTGCCCACCCACCCAATGCCTTGGAATGTTCTCCCCATAATTATGTCCAAGGCCTCACCCACTTTTTATTCATATCCCTTCCTAGGACCTTCAGATAGGGGAAAGCTGCTCGATTCTTCATGTGTTTCCTGTATGTCCTCCTGTGCTAGTAAACACGTCAAAGTTGAATATGTCAAAGGGGTTTTTAGAATAAGCACCACTCAGTGGATAATACTGGTGACAAGGCCAAATGTAGGGGCAGGTGACCCCAGGAACCACCTGCTATGTTGAGCAAGGGGTCTGCAGGGACACCTGCTATCCTCTATCAAACAAAGTCAAGGCGCCCTCCACATGTTGTTGGACCATAACTTGCATGATCCCTGACTATTGGGCATGCTGGCTGAAGCTGATGGGACCAGGAGTGCATCAACCTCTGGAGAGCACCGTGTCTGCTCTCTACAGGCTATTTAGTCAACTATCCACTCAAAAGCGGAAACAAAGGGCTCAGGCCAGTCCTGGGGAATCTGTCCCTACCCATCCCACCTCCAGGGCTCCAACTTCCATCAGCCACAGCTAGCATGGCCAAAGGTCAGGCAGGATGGGAGTTGGAGTCCAACAAAATCCGTAGGGCTAAAGGTTAATCACTTCAAGTATAAATAGTTTACATGGCATGATCCTAGCATGCAAATTTATTCCCTTAAATCATGTCTGCAAATCACAGAACTCATTAAATGGGGGGTGTATGCGTAATTAAAATAAGGTATTTGAAATTAGAAGAGGGTGCACAAAGGATGGTTCTTGCCCAGGGGGCCATTGAGTGTTGGGCCAACACTGATAGCTGAATATGGCCAAACTCTCTCTCTCTGTCACTGGCCTTGGCCTTTGGCTTCACATTCCCAACTCTAAAAGGAGAATAACAGGCTCATTCATGAGGATACTGTAAGATTGAGCTAATACTTCAATGTGAAATAGCATCTGAGACATAAACCTCACTATTTTACCTACCAAGCACCAGGGCACCTTGTTTCACTTTTTGTTTTAGTTCTCTTTCAGCATCCTAGTACTAATACTATTCTATTTACTTTATACTTACATTTATTTTAGGTTGTCAATTACATGTTTACTAATATGTGGACAGACAGCTGGGTGCCCTACCATGTGAGAAGAGGATGGCCTTGGACTTGTATGTGGGAGGGTAACACAGGAGTGTTCATATAGTAGATCTTCACTCTCACCCCTGCTCAGGTGGGGAGGGGGTGCCATTTTGTGGATGGCCTCAGGTGCCAAAATGTCTTGAGCCAGCCCTGCACTTTTACCTCAGGTCTTGTGTGTGGAAATAATGTTGCTCTAAACCTAAAATTGTATTGGGGTTTTGTCTGTTACATTGCAATATCTCCTTTCACATATCAGTATTGTAAGAAATGGAGCTGTCTGGGCCAACTCTGTACTGATAGCTGTGAATGATCACTTCAGAAAATTCAACTGCCCATATTAAATCCTCAGGCTCTCTCAGGCTGCATCCACATTAACTCATTTGTAACACAAATTGTAGCTACACTCAATATGCCAGCAAATATGGAAAAAATCAGCAGTGGCCAGAGGATTGGAGATGATCAGTCTACATCCCAATCCCAAAAAAGGGCAGTGCCAAAGAGTGCTCCAACTACCGCACAATTGCGTTCATTTCACATGCTAGCAAGTTTATGCTCATACTTCTACAAGGCAGGCTAAAGCAGTATGTGGACCGAGAACTCCCAGAAGTACAAGCTGGGTTTCAAAGGTGCAGAGGAACCAGAGACCAAATTGCAAACATGCGCTGGATGTTCCAGAAAAACATTTACAGTCATACCTCTTGTTATGTCCGCTTCATGTTACGTTCTTTCAGGATATGTCCTGCGGCGACCCAGAGGTACCGGAAAGGGTTACTTCCGGGTTTCACCGCTCGTGCATGTGCAGACACGCAAAATGATGTCACGCGCATGCGCAGAAGCGGCAAATCGTGACCTGCGCACGCACAGATGCAGGTTGCGTTCTGCTCATGTTGCGAACGGGGCTCCGGAACGAATCCCATTTGCAACCAGAGGTACCACTGTACTTCTGCTTCATTGACTATGCAGAAGCCTTTGACTGCATGGAGCACAGCAAACTATGGCAAGTTCTTAAAGAAATGGGAGTGCTTGATCACCTCATCTGTCTCCTGATAAATCTCTATATGAGACAAGAAGCAACAGTTAGCTGGGTATGGAACAACTGATTGGTTCAAAATTGGGAAAGGAGTATGACAAGGCTGTATATTGTCTCCCTGCTTATTCAATTTATATGCAGAATTCATCATGCGAAAGGCTGGACTGGATGAATCCCAAACTGGAATTAAGAGTGCCGGAAGAAATATCAACAACCTCAGATATGCAGATGACACAACCTTGATGGTAGAAAGTGAGGAATTAAAGAACCTCTTAATGAGGGTGAAAGAGGAGAGCGCAAAATATGGTCTGAAGCTCAACATCAAAAAAACGAAGATCAGGCCACTGGGCCCATCACCTCCTGGCAAATAGAAGGGGAAGAAATGGAAGTAGTGACAGATTTTACCTTCTTTGGCTCCGTGATCACGGCAGATGGTGACAGCAGTCAGAAAATTAAAAAACGCCTGCATCTTGGGAGAAAGGTGATGATAAAGCTAGATAGCATATCAAAAAGCCTTGTCGAAAAAATCCATATACTGAAAGCTATGGTTTCCCCAGTAGTGATGTATGGAAGTGAGAGCTGGACCACAAAGAAGGCTGACCGCCGGAAAATTGATGCTTTTGAATTATGGTGCTGGAGGAGACTCTTGAGAGTCCCATGGACTGCAAAAAGATCAAACCTCTCCATTCTGAAGCAAATCAGCCCTGAGTGCTCACTGGAAGGAAAGATCATGAAGCTGAGGCTCAAATACTTTGGCTACCTCATGAGAAGAGAAGACTCTCTGGAAAGAAAACCTCTGATGTTGGGTAAGATTGAGGGCACAAGGAGAAGGAAATGACAGAAGACGAGATGGTTGGACAGTGTTATAGAAGCGACCAACATGAATTTGATGAAACTCCGGGAGGCATTGGAAGACAGGAGTGCCTGGCGTGCTCTGGTCCACAGGGTCACGAGGAGTTGGACATGACTAATCAACTAAACAACAAAGCACAAAACTATGCAATAGTTCTAGACTCCATGAGGACCACAAACAAAAAAACAAGCACTCAGTCTCCATTGAGTCTAGAATAAGATGTCATGTGTACATAGCCTGATGGAGACCAGCTCTTTCCAAAGGCCACACAATCAGCCTAGAAACTCCCCATGTTGAGTTGATGAAGTGAAATATGGAAATATCCTTTAGTCAGAGTAGAAACTACCAGGGCAAGGTCCAAGTTTATTATGACAGCTTTTATTTTAAAATTGTGCTCTTTCCTACAGGGTGTAACTTTGTTAGCTGGAACATGTTCTGTAATATATATTTTTAATGTGATTTTCTTAGCTGAAACTATGAGCTGTCTGTATTACTAAGGCACTTACTACATTGCTATTTAAACACAATTGGATGCATTCTGAACTCAGATTCCTCTGACCTATTTTGAATGCTCTGAAACCTAGACTACCTTCCATCACACTAAAGCCAATGGATCCTAGAAAGCATTTGAAACAGAAAGCTGTCTTTTTTCTGATTAATAATAAATACAGTGCAAAGTATACATGCAGTTATAGCTAAATGATTTAAAGGTCAAGCAAGAAAAAAAACCTAGGCCCAAAAGTAGCAAAGCTCTTGATACTTAGAATTTTTTTAACACTTTTCCTTGTCGCTGGCTAAATCTAGCTGGAGTAGTCGTATCTGCCCACCAAGAACTTGATGCCTCTTCACCAATAAGCATCTTGAACTGTCACTGAAGGTTCAGACTGAAAGACCTTGCACACACTCAGAACACCATAGAAGCCCCTTGTGATAATGTGGTTTTTACATATTCTTTAGCATTGCTGAAATATCAGTGTTAAAACTGTGTAAAATTTTAGAACATAAATATACCAGATTATTAAAATTTCACCATCCACTATGAAAGGAAATTTCAGTCCAACATCAGTTTTATCCAATATTTCAAAAGCCTGTTGTCAGAAAATAAAAACACATTTTAGATATTCTGCTTGTATTTTATGATTCAGCCCTTGTTGAATAAGTAATGAAAGCAAAATCAACCAGGAGAACAGTTCATTTAATTTTTCAAACTTTTCAGTCTGAATAGATAAGGATCATATCACTTCTGAAAAGTTCTCAGGATTCAGTTTAGTACATCCTACATAGCTATCATAAGGTGTCATAAAGGCTGCAATCCAATGCCATTTACCTAGAAGTTAGTCCCACTGAATCCAATGGGAGTTACTTCTGAGTAGCCCTGCATAGACTTGCACTGTAATACTTTGATATACAATATTTAATATTTATACATTAGTTTCAGTTCCAAACTGTTGGATATATTATGTCTTAATCTCCTAAATAAGACAATACTCTCACAGTCACTCTCCTTTGGAACTTATCTTGAAAGTGGGCTTAACAGTCTTGAGCAATAGGGCAAGCAACACTCATCCTAGATAATTTTACATTAACCAATTCTCCATTGGATGATATTCAATTATGGCATTCTGCTTGCACAACAGGATTTCCCCTTCTCTCCTTCCCTCTTCAGTCCCCCCTCCAGGTCATATGCTCTGGAGAGTTGGGGGGGACACTAAAGAGCTGATGGGGGCCAGAGGGGAAGAAGAAGGAGAGGACCTGCTTCATACACTGGTGCAACACTGGATCTCACCCATATATTCTTTAGTTCATTCTTTAATTTTATGTCATTTGGATTTTTCTAATTCTTGACATGTTAGTTTATCCATGTCTCATTTCAGCCCTTCTGTTTTTTAAAATAATTGGCTCAACTTATGCTCTCTGTTTAGAAATATATCTTTACTTCTTTGTTACTCTTTTGTTATTGAATAATGAATCCTTTTCCTATTCAATTTAGGAGTCTGTAACTAACTTTTATTTACATTTTCCTTTACTTTTACTTCCTCCTCCTACTCCTTCTGATGCCAAGCATACTTGCCACTGAGAACTGGTTGAATGGATTTCTTTCAGCACTGAAGAAATCCTGTAAACCTTTTTATTTTATATATACCCGATTACATTCCCTTATATCTTTTATCTTTGATTGTCTTCCCTTATATCTTTCTTCTTTCCTTCTTCTTCCTCTTCATTTTGTGTGGCCAATGAGATCTGGACAGAGTTTCTTTGTAACTAGTATTTATTGTTTGCTTGCTTGCTTTGTTTCCTGAAACTACAGATTCTTGAAGCCTATAGAAGAGCGTACAGGGATGGAAAAGTCAGGAGGTTTTGCTCCTAGCACCACAGATGCAAGAATTGAAAAGTCCAGGAGTTTCTTCTATCCTTTGTGCAAGGTAAAGGAAGCAGGAAGAAAATGAATGTTTGCGTTACATCACATTGCCTTCTTATCTCACTGAACCCCAACATATTTGCTGAAAGACTAAGAAGTCGTCAAACTGTCAGAGAGGCACTGTGAGATGGGCCTGTGAATTCACGGGGCAAGTCCATTGTATTTCAGGCTCCACTACCCCATCTGTAAAGGTTGCTGGGAAGATACATAAAACAGGAAATGCATCTGCACTAACCTCAGGTATAGGTTGCTCTGTACATCTAAATGAATGAAGGGGGAAGCTGTTAACTCTCTCTTGGTTCACATTTATCTGGAACTTGCTTATATTCTATAAGAATAAGGAATGTTCTTTTCCCTTCCCTCCCATTTACTCTCACAGTGTCCCTGCCTTTATTCAAGAATGGCACTCTGACCTGAATGCTGATCTGTTTGTCACTCCTTTACCCTAAGGTCACTATAGTCCTCTTTTTTGTCCCTCCACTAGAGGCAGCTTACGGTTTGTTTTCTTCATTCTGGTCAGGGACACAAGTAGCCATCTCAAAGTCCTTTCATGACTTGAACTTCATCTCAAGCAAAAGCTGTTGGTTGTGCTCAGTGTCTACACAGGAGACTTCGCCACAACGGGAGCACCCGTCCATTAGTTAACTGATTAGCTAATAAGCACCTGTGACAGCAAAGCCAGACCAGTGTCCGGAGATGCAGTCCCTCAGAATTCCACCAGAGGGCTGGAGCCTCTCTCTGATTTGCTCCCAAGACAGCCAGTCAGAGGGAGGCGGAGCCAGCACTTTCGGAGGGAAAGTAAAAGAAGCCATTTCTGAGGGACAGACTTAGATAGGGCTTGATTTGAGATGAGACATAGGGCTCAGGTTGAGAGATAGGGATCAGGAGAGGTTTGTCTGAGGGAGAACTGGTTCTGTTTTGAGTGGAACATCCATTCTGAGGAGAACATCTAAAGCCAGAGAAAAGAGCCTCTCAGCTTATATAGGAAGACCCAGTTGAGGGTCTTGGGAAAGTAAAAAAGGATTTAAACTGGAGGGTTGAGTCTGAGGCAGGAGAGGAAGAAACTGTGGGAAGACACTCTTATTCTTGGGTCTCCTTCCAGTCTGGAGGCCAGAGATCTCCTGGGAAAAGACGACCCTCAAACCAATAACAAGGGCTGTGGGGACCCTCTGGGTCTGTTATACTAACTGGGATACCTCAAGAGTGAGATTGTTAAGAGAGAGGGGAACCGAGGAAAAGTGGCCCTCACTCGGGAACCAAATTGCTAATCTGTGAAGGAAGCTGTGCAGTATCAAAAGTATTTCACTAACACCTCTCATAACTAAGTAAAGGAACAAGAAACTGAGTTAAGCATTTTACCACCTATTCTGGAAACCTAAGCATCTACCTGAAGTGTAACAACTGATTTTTAGCAACTGAAGTTTAAGAAAAGATGTGCACATACTACTGTGTTTAAGCCTGCGACATCCTTGTATTTAGTTTAAGCGATAAGTTACCTTTTACTTGAAAGAACGAATTGCCTGGCCCAACTTTGTTTCACAAACTTCTCTCTGTAAATAAAACTCTTCTTGTTTGTTTGTTCAGCTTCTGCCTAAGACTCTGAATCACTAAGATAAATTGTAGAAATGTAATTGGTGTACTGTGAGGTAGGTCCACTATATTTAATTGGGAGCAGTCAGCGGAGTGAATCCGCTCACTGGGCTAGAAAATCTACCTGCTTCACTAGCCAGTTTGGAAATGTTACTAGGACTTGACAATGGTTATTATAATGAACAACTGAATGCATTACATAATCAAATTACTCATTTTAAAATGTTTTGACATGATTGTCTGGAACTCTGGGAACTTTAGTTCCATAATAGAGCTAAGGATCTCTGTCTAGGAATTGTCAATACAACAAGACAAAATTTAACAGCGATAAATGCAATGGTTTGCATTTAGGTACAAAGAATCAATGGTACAAAAAAAAAAAGAAAGAAAAGATGGGGGAGACCTGGCTTGGCAGCAGTACTAGCGAAAATAATGTAAGTGTCTTAGGAGATCACAGGCTGAACAAGAGCCAGCAGTGTGATGTGATGCTACAGTAACAGAAACATAGTGCCCAAATCACAGGGTTGTAATAGGATCTGCACAGTTCAGACCATGTCTAAAGTACACTGTCTAGTTCTGGACACCACATTAAGAAGGACATAAAGAAATGGAGTGTGAACAAAGAGCATGATCAGGTTGGTGAGGGATATTGGAAACCAAGTCCTTTAAAGAATGATTGAAAGAGCTGTATATGTTTAGCCTGGAAAAGAGAATATTAAGAGGCGACATGGTGGTGGTTTTCAAATATCTGAAGGACCTTTATGGAGTAGATGGAGCAGACATGCTCCCTCTTGCTCCAGCAGGCAGGAGTAGAACCAATGCGTGAAAGTTAAAAGGAAGCAGATTTCAGTTAAGCATAAGAGAGCATAAGCTGTTTGACAGGAGAACAGACTGCCTCAGGAGGTGGTAGGTTCTTATCTCACTGGAGATGTTTAAGAGGCGGCTAAAAGGCCACATGTCACTGATTCTGCTCCTGCATTGCCAATTCTGCACTGAGTAGAACTTGGACTAGATGACTTTTTAAACCAATTCTGATTCCATCATATATCCCTTGTTGCTGTTGACAGTTTTATAAATGGATTCCAGGAGGAAATGTGGCCACCTCAATTCATCCGATCTTTAGATGAATGACTTTAGGCCATTTGTTACCAGAAATCCCACAACTTAATTTGATCAACATTTTCATCCACTACGTTTAACTTACTTTTGCAACTTTGGGCGCATGCTACTTATCTGTATCTAGAAGACTTGTCCATTCAAGAAAAAAGGACTTCTTGTTGCTGTGTATGACACACACATTTTATCACCACCATTTCACAACCCTTTATGCACATCCAATGACACAAGAATGCACCTAGGTGGGTTCCCTGAATGGTAAGTTTGCAGAAGCTAAGCAGGTCTGGATGTGATCATCACCTTAATGGGAGACTGCCTACAAACCACATGCAAACCTAGAGTTCCATGATGGAAGAAAGGGAAGAAAATCAATAATAAAGCATGGGGAAGGTCTTAAAATGGTTCTCATGGCACATATATCAGTGGTGCTACATTGTTTCATTCATGAATGCCATTGCCTTGGAGGCAGGACCTTCACCTTGGGAAGATTTTATGGATGTCCTCACAGAAGATGTTATTGGCTTTGGCAGTGTATTCCTGTGCAATTGTGTGGCCTGCTCCCACAGTTCCGTGAGGTATCTTGCCCAGGCAATGACTGTGGGTAGACCTATGTAAAGAAGAAATATTAATTGTCCACTAGGCATGAACTGGTTCTTTCCCTACCTGTTGCATCATTTTCGAAGTGGTTTTGTGCAGTGACTTCATGAAGGCAGGGAGCACCTATTTCCACAAGGATGCCCTGAGCAAATACCTTGGGAGTAAGGTAGATTTTGTTTTTAACCAGAGACTTGAAGGCCTACCACGTAATCTAATAAAATACTCATTCCTCACACCATCTGTGGGAACGCCAGGAACAGGCTCTTGCTCGTGCTTACATAATCCCCCCCCCACTCCCCGCCAAAGCTACTCTCTGAAGTTTGCCTTTGCTCCCACCTCTCTAGTTTACAAGTGAGAACTGCTCGGCTTGTATTTTTGATTGGCGGAGCCACGGCGAGTGACATCAACCCCATCACTTTCGATTGGCCCGCTGGTTGCTGGGACTAGAAGGGCTTTGGGCGGGCCAGTTAACCCCATCTCTGCCGAAAGTGCAAACTTCGGAGCTCTTGCGCAGGGCGCGGGGCAGGACGGGGGAGAGCTGCCCCGGGAGGGAAACGGGGCCGAAGCGGGCGCCGCGGGGGGGGGGGCGAGCCGGAGGGAGGGAGAGCCCCGCCCCGCCCCCCACGCCGGCGCGGGCGAGAGCGGCGCGCGTCGCCCTTTTAAGCGGGGTGTGCGCGTCTCCGGAGCAGCACGAGGCTTGGCGAGCGGAGGCCGGGATTGGCCGCGGCGCGGGCTGGCGGTCCCGCCTCCCCTGCCAAAAGGCCTTCTGAGTGGCAGCGCGAGAAGGTAAACAGAGTGGGCTCGCTCTGGCGGCCGCCCGGGTGCTGCGGGCGGGGCGGAGGCGGCGGCGGAGGCGCTGCTGCCGCGGGATGGGCTTGGGCGACGCGGGCGCCGAGCGAGAGGCGGGCAGCGCGGGCTGCGGCTGAGGGTCCGGCCGGGCGCCGCCTGACGGGGAGCTGCCTCGCTCTCTCTCTCTCTCTCTCTCCGGGCGGGGGGAGGCGCGAGAGCGAGCGAGCGAGCGGGGAAACACCCCTCGGTGCTACTTGAATTACTTGAAATCGCCACTTGTGACACTGTTCTGGCGAGGAGGCAGCAGCCTCCGCCGCCGCCGCCGCCGCCGCCGCCAGGATCGCAGCCCAGCCCGCGCTCCCTCCCGGAGTTGGCCGGCGTCGGCGGGCGCGAGGGCGGCCAGGTCAAAAGGTGGGGCTGGCGGCGCTTCTCCCGCTTTCTCCGGGGGGCGGCGGTCACGGATGCTCGTGGTTATGTAAACGCCGAGGAGGCGCGGAAGTGGATCCTTCGGCGTGAGCGCCTCCCCCCGCCACCCGCAGCCTGAAGGCAGCGCCCGGAGCCGCCCGGAGATCGCAGCCCGCCGGTCCCCCCTCGCCCCTCCGCCTCTCCCCGCGGGAAGCGTGGCCCATCGGCGCCCGCAGGATGTCCGCGGTGGCGTACATGGACTTCGTGGCTGCCCAGTGCCTGGTGTCCATCTCCAACCGCTCCGCGGCCCAGCCCGACGTGACCCGGGAAGCGGAGCTGCTGAAGATGCCCGAGGAAGAGGAGGACGAGGCCGCCGCCGCCGCCGCCGTGACCAAGGAGATGAACGACCCCCGGGACGCCTGGAAGGATTATTGCACTTTGGTGACCATTGCCAAAAGCTTGTTGGACCTGAACAAGTACCGGCCCCTGCCGACCCCCTCCATCTGCAGCGACAGCGTGGAGAGCCCCGACGAGGACGCGGGGTCCGACAGCGACGTGACCACCGAGTCCGGCTCCAGCCCTTCGCACAGCCCCGCCGAGGGGCAGGAGGCGGGCGGCGGGTCCGACCCGCTCTCGCTGCTGCGCGGCGCGGCGCCCGCCAAAGGGAAGCTGGCCGCCGAAAAGAGACACAAGTGCCCCTACAGCGGGTGTGGCAAGGTCTACGGCAAGTCGTCCCACCTGAAAGCCCACTACCGAGTGCACACAGGTGAGCGGGGGTCGGGGGTCCGGGGGGGGGTCGGGGCTGGAGCTGTTTACAGAAAGGCTTCCGTTACATAAAGGCAAGCAGGGCTCTGCTCTCGCCGCTGCTGCTTTGCCTTTAAAAAAAAGATGTCGGTTGTCCTCGTTTGAACCCTCTTAAAGATGCGGCGGTGGTTTTCGCTCTCCTGGGCTTCCCGGCCCGTTTCCGCCTTCGCGGCGCTCGAGAGAGCAGCCTGGCTTCGTCTGGGTACAGGGTGTCGATGCAAACGGCACGTCAAGGCGGTGGGTGGGTGGGAGGGAGAGCAAAGGGTGTTTTCACGGGCTTGTCAGCTCCGGAGCCTCGGGTTTCCCCCTCCCCTCTCGCTTAGGTGTGCTTACACTGAGAAGCTCAGGCCAGCAGAGGAGCTGTTTAGTCCAAAAATGCTTATTTGAGGATGGAAGGAATGCAAGGGCTGGGAGAGGGAGAGAGAGAGGCATGCTTAAGGTTATGTATGCGCTGCTAGAGCTTCTAAGGGATGCATCTGATTTCATGATGACTCTTTGCTTCTTGCCAGGGCATCTGTCCAGGGGTCTGCCTGCAGATCTTGTATTGTGTTGTCTAGAATTATATTTCAGTGAAGTAAAATAGAGAATGGCAAGCTAACTTCATTCCTCCTCAGCTGTTTCCTCAAATAGCATATTTTCTAGAGCTGCATTTGCTTGGGCTTCCATGGCACATCTTGGTTCCATAGAACTCACTGGGCGTGGCCTGGTTTTGGCAGTTGTTGTGGATTGATGATGTCCTTTCTGAACTCTTGTGAAAAGACGCATGGGTGATCCTGATGTTCACTGCATTTTCATGTGTGATTGACTGGGCAGAGAAAGGGATAAGAGTGTGAAGTCTCTGTCTTTGGAAACTTTCCCATCTATCTTTTGAAATGACTTTCAGTTTTCATTTAATCCTCAATAATACAGTAGTCATCTTCATTTGAGATATTTGAATGAAGACATGTTGCTTGACTGCCTGATGTCTTAGGTATTAGAATCAGCGGTTGAGTGTGTCTTCAGTAAAGTGTTACTTCTAGGGGAATGCTTACTGTTTTATTCCCAGTTTAGAACCCAACCCACTGTAAGGGTCACACCCTCAGCTACTGAACACAGCTGGTTTTTCATTGCAGTATTCAATGTGCATCGCCAAAAGAAAAATGAATTGCTTCACAGGTGCATGTTTAAGTAAAGCTTTTGTGGAAGACCAAGTGATTGGTGAATGTCACTTTTTCCAGCAAAGGACATGTTATCCATTTGTGTGCGCACATGTGTTGGCAGCTTCTAATAATGGTATGATAGCACACAGGGCTACGTATTTCTGTGGTATGGCAGTGGCAGAACATGGCTCTTTCATAGTTATGTGGTTATACATTTGGACTCAAGTCCTAAGAAAATGGGTGTCTATATTTTTAGTCTTAGACATTGGTGTACCCTACATTCAACTGGTACTTGCCTTGGCAGTGTCTATAGACTGGGAGAGAGGGGAAGTAAATGCTGAATTCACAACCCTAATTATCCATAAAACAGGATATTTTGTGCCCTGAGTTGGATGATATAGCAGTTTTGCAGCATGTTAACCTAGCAATATAAAAAGGTATCTGTTTTAGCAATTAAATTCTAATTCTAAATTCTGAAAGCTGTGTTTTTAGATTTTAAGGTTTGGCTGAGAGCACTGCATGATGCATACAATCTGCATGGCTTTTTAAAAGTGGAAGCTGGCCTGATAAGGGGAGAGACGGAGTAGGCAAGAGAGAAACTCATGTTGCTCAATATTAGCATTTTTCTTGTAGATTATTTTCCCACCACAACTTCCCCCCTTAAAAGCCATCTGGAAGAGGAAGAGATCTTTGTTTTAGGAATTGACACAAGACCAGTAGCGCTGCAAACATCCGTGTACTAAAGTATCTTTCTCCTGGAGGGGTGGCCGAATGTGGATTCTGGCTGAACTCCCCGCTGAAGTGTCTTTCTGGCCTAGTTCTGTCTACTGTGGGAGGGGAGTCCCAGTGCCGCTTTCCTGCTGACAGAACTGGCATCGTATGCAGTTCAGAACGGAAGATGAACAGGAAAAGGAGGGTCGTGTGTCACTCAGCAGTGATTCCTGTGGTTAAAACACAGAACATAGGAAAGAAAAGAGTAAGAGCAACACCAGCCAGTTTCCTTAGTAGAGCAGGAGTTCCAGTTAATTTGTGAATGTACAGAAGTCCATCACCTGAGGCTGTCCCACTAGCTTTTGGTGCCCATGCTGAACCAGTAACATCAGAGTTGGATTGGATTGGATTTATGTGCTTTTGGCAATTAAAATGTTTCAGTTATCATATCATTTTGCAAAGTATGGATTTAATAGATTTGGTTTGAAATGTGTACCGGATTGAAATTCTCCCCAATCCCTACCTGACACTGGTTTATATTCTACCGATAATGACATCTGCTCAATGGTCTGCAAGTTAGGAATGCAAATTACTTGTGTTATTAATTGACCTGCTAGGTGTGTACATACATGCACTTATGTACATACATTATGTACATACATACATTCAAACTTATGTTCTACTTCCCACCCAGGATTTTGTTCTCTGCCTTTTACTAGCTGGAAAAGTGTTCTGGGTGAGAAATAATAAACTCTATGCTCTGTTTTGCTCTTTGAAATTCATTTGTATCACTGAGTTATTTACAGCTAGAAATAGCTTGTAGTGGTTAAATATCCCCACCCCATACAAAGTTATTCCTTTTGCTAGTAAATCCCCCACATTTTCTAGTGTAAAGTTGAATTATTTTTATTTATAGTTGGGGGGGGGAGAGAATACCATTGTATTAATGAGAAAATCAAAGGAGCCTTGTTTAAAGGTTTAAGTCTGTGTCCTTAGCAAACAAAACACTTGGGCTCTACATTTGAGTGTAAAGCTTGCTTGCTTGATTAAAACCCCGCGAGGCCCATGGCATATACTGTGTGTTCCGTAGCTATATGGTGGCATTTCCTCAATGGTACCTGCCTGCCCCCACTCCATGGGCTGGCTCCCATTGGACATTGGGGATCTCTTTTTTTAAAAAAAGCACATTTCTGCTTTTATTACGTACAACTTTTAATGTATACTTAAATAGGCCCTTTTCTTCATTGGAACTTGCTTTCTGGGCCATCGAGTCCAATTTCCCATGCAGCCTTTCACAGCCACTGTGTAAAGAAGGTGCAGGTAAACCCTTGGCTGCTCCATTGTCTTACATTTTTAATGCATGCTCTCACATTTTATTCTGAAGAACGGTGTCAGAATCCTGCTCAATCCCCCTTTCAAGTAAAATGTTTTTTCAGTGAGTTTTTATTCATTATACAGTGCAAAACTACAGGTGTCATAGCAGTCTGTGCCGTAGCTTATGAGGGCAGCTGTACTGAGCAACTTACCAGAGCACAGGGCATACTATTCTAGTTGAAGGGGCTTCCTCAAATTTAGGGTGTATCTGCTCCATGGCCAAGTGGGAGGGGGGCCTGGAGGCACTTGCATGGTCCTTGTGGACACTGTGGACATTTTGCACCTGGCTTTCAACCACCTGCGATCAAGGAAAGATTCCAGGGTGCCAGGATGGCAACTGACATCTCCACCACCTGGCAGCAAGTGGCTGGGAATCATTGGATCTGGACTGTTCTCTCACATTAATACTCCATCCTGTAGAATTCTATCAGTTATATTTTATCTGCACATTCAGAATGAATTTCTGGAGCCAAAATGCTTTTTCTGTGCAGTCTGAACAGGAGCAGTTGCCATTAAGAAAAAATATCAGAATAGGCCAACATATATGTGGAATGTGACTTTTCCTCTTTGAGTTCTCAAAGCTCTTAACTGAGCTCAGGTTGTCATCTGAACTGGCCAGATAGTTAACTGAGAATCAATCACAGTCAGCCCATCATTTGAAGAATAAGACTTGAGAGCCATATTGCCCCCAAATGGCAACTAGACATTCTGTTTGGGGACTGTAACCTTGGTTTAAGGAGCCATTAGGAGTTTCTAACCGTGCTGTGGGGGATCTGCATCAGTGTAACCCTAACCATGCTGAAAATCTCTCTGAAAGTTGTGGAAGGTCATAGTGTGTGAGTTAAGGTGAAAGAGTTAAAAAAAAAAGCATTTATGGGTCTGTAAACCATGATAATCACAGCTGTCTCCCAAACAGGCTCTTTCTCCCTTCTGGGGTCAGAAGTACATCTTGCTTTGAGAGCTGCATGTGACATAACAAAGGAACAAACAAAGCCCCAAATCGCAAAGTTAGCAATGGATATGAACTTCAAAGCAAGACTCCATGGTAAAACTGTGGAATAACAAGTAATTGAGAAGTTCAATACGTGTCATTTGGATCTCAATACAGATAATGGTTTCCTATCCTTATACTGGTATTTAAACTTATACAACTATCTTGGCAATTCCTTAAATCATTTAAATTATAATTGAATTATTACTGGTGGTACTCTTTGATGTCATTGCCACTCAATCCCCAGTGCAGCTCTCTTCAGCCTCAGGCAGCCTGGTAGTGCTCAGGGATGTTGCAGTCCAGCAGCATCTAGAAAGCCTCACAGCTACCTCTCTGGATGTTGATTACCGTATTTTTTGCACCATAACACTCACTTTTTTCCTCCTAAAAAGTAAGGAGAAATGTCTGTGTGTGTTATGGAGGGAATGCCTACGGGTGGCATGCCTACGGATTTTCCTCCTCTAAAAACTACGTGCGTGTTATGGTCGGGTGCATGTTATAGAGCGAAAAATACGGTATATGTGTGCCATTTGAGGTCTCCATGTAAGTTTCTCGTCTCTAGCATACACACTAAAAACAAGCAAACATTGGCATCTTTTTAATAGAACTTTGGGCCTAAATCCATGATGGTAATTAAATTCAAAGTGTTGCAGTTATCATGGATAAGATGGAAGTTACATGTGGTTTCAACATCTATCCTGTGTTTGAGAGAAAGTTCTCACAATAAGTTGTGTCTTCCACATCAGAAGTCCCAACCTTCCCCTATTATTCACTCACAGGGAGAAATGCAGTGTGTGAATGGATGGATTGAGGATATGCTCTTGTGAACACAATGCCTACTTGAGGTGACTGGCGCGACAGTAAGGATTTCTCTTTGCAAGAATCCTTTTATTTTTAAAACTCTTATGCTAGTGAAAATACTGTGTGAATAGTGAAATGCATTATATTTGACTCTAATACTATATTGATAATGCCTGACTAAATGGCAAGATCAGTTTCTATTACTCACAAACTTTGTTTTCTAATGTTCATTTCTTCTTCATCTCAAGTATAAAACACACATATTGTATCCTAAGGGGGATAAAATGCATATTGAAGAGGAAAGCAGTGAGCAATAAGAGTCAGAGTTACTCATAAGCTTCATTCTTTCACACCAAAATTGGTAACTATAATTGCCACAAATGGACATTCTGAAAATGCCAGCATTAATGATTTATTGCTCCATGTTGTCCCTTTGCAGAAAAGAGCATGTTCTGTATTTGTTTGTGCTTTCTAGAAAATGAAGTACATTACTTTTCCGTAGCACTGTATAATATTCACATTATTTGTTTATTTATATCTATATAGATAATATACAGATATACACACACACAAACACCCCTCTCTATATTTTAACTTTCAAAAACACCAAATTTAAAAACACCAAAAGAAACTCAATGCAGCTAACAAATCAAAGCATTACACAACTTTTAAATATATCTTGCAGTTCCTGTTCCTTGGCACAGTCCTGAAACCAAACTATTAACATCATGAACTAACCACAATAATAATTTCTAAAATAGCCATCAAATTAAAGCAGTGTTAACTGTAAACCATCTAAAAGCTTACACACACACACACACAGAGAGAGAGAGAGAGAGAGAGAGAAACAAAAGGCACACATCCCACCTCCCCTTCCCTCCACCCCCCAGTTGTACAGCTTTCATACCAATCTCGACATACGACTAAATACCTGGTGACTCCCCTTCCACCCTTTTCCTGGTTTCTCCTCCCCCCCATCGCGTATTCAAAATTTTTAATCTTCGAATATCTTCTTCTATTAAATTCTATTAACTCCTATTCTGCTGGATTTACTCAAGACCTGCTAGGTGGTATTTACTTGTTTATACTGGTTCTTAAAATATTCAATAAACATCTTCCAATCATCCTTATATTCTTTATCATCTTTTTCTCTTACCCTGTTCGTTATGCTTGCCAATTCAGCATATTCAAACATTTTAAACGGCCACTCTTCCTTGGTGGGAACTATATTTGTTCCCACCTTTGTACCAATAAGATTCTAGCAGCAGTGGTGGCATATAATAATATTTTTTTGTTTTGATTTTTAGGGACTTCTGTTGTTACCATTCCCAAAAGGAATGCCTCGGGCTTTGGGGGGAATTTTTTTTTAATATCGTTTTTAATGTATTGTAAATTACTTCCCAGAATTCCCTGATTACTTTACAGGACCACCACATGTGGGAAAAGGATCCCTCTACTTCATTGCATTTACCTTTTTCAACATTTTCACTAGTTTGGCAGGTGTTAAATAGTATGTTCTTGCTGGCTGACTAAAACAATAAGGTGATGGGACCTGACATATCTCAGCTGGCAAAGTGTTCCACAGGCTGGGCATCGGAAAAAGCCCTGCCACCGGTTAACATCCGTCGTATTTCATGGGGTCAAGGGATCTGGAGATGATGACCAGAACATATGGAAGAAGGCAAGTATTTGCTGAACTGAACTGCCATCCCAAGACTGCAGTGGCTTTGGAAATCAAGTTAAGATTCTAATATCTGGACCTTCCATTTTCCAATTGCTTGCAAAGAGCCCATTCCCTAATATTTCAAAATATTTGACTCATATAATATGTAGACTGGCTTCTATAATATGTAAACTGTTAATGCCTAGGAATGTTTGGGCTCAGCCAATGTTACCCTGCCCTTTCTGAGCCAGAACAGCAATCTGCAGCATATTTATGGCATCTTGCAAAGTCAGTGGGTTATGGTTCTCTTTCTTAACCATACAAAAAGAAAAGAAAAATGGTTACAGCTTTCTCAATTCTGTAAATCAGTAAAAAACAAAGAAAGAAGCAAGTTTGAGGCTTTTGAAAACAGCAAGCATATTAAGTATATCAATTTTCTAAAAAATGGAAACATCTTGCCATCTTGAAATTTGTGGTTTTTAATACAGGAGACTCCTGACTCCTTGTATAGATTACAAAATGCAGCTGTGCAGCAACAGAAATGTCTCACAGGCACAGGTAGATACCTAACCCAAATGCTGTATCCACGCTTGAGTAATCCAGAGACCTTGTCCTCCATTCTTGCTGCTTGGCTGTCCTGCACTGTTCAAATTACCTTTGTTTCTTCCAAGTAAGAAAAACAATTTTGCTAAAGTTGAGATATCGGTGCTAAAGTCTATGAAGCTACTGTTTTGTGTCTCAGTGGCTTCTCTGGTCTAATCACTCTTCTTTATGGGCCGTGTTTTCCTAGCAAGCAGATACCATGCCTCTAGAAATGCACATACTGTGGATCTAAATGCATTTTCTTCTCACCAGCATCAGTATCTTTGTGGCTTCCTAACAAGCTGACTATTTATCACATATATGAAGGGAAATGATGCTTTGCAGATCTGCTGCCAGCTGGCCATGAAGTATCCAGATGCTTGTAAACCTCAGGATTCAGTGAGAGTGGAATTCTTAATCTTGAGTCTTTGGAACTGGGTGTTCCAAACACCCAGACTCTGTTGCCCAGCCAGGAATCATTTCCTTGGGATAATCCATGCCAGAAGAAGAATGAAGGAGTAGCATGGCCAGTGCCAAACAGTGGGGGATAACAGCAGCATTCTGGAACAAGGAAGAAATCCTGATCTGGACACATTCCTATACTTCTCACCCATCCATTGAGACTTCAGTCATTTCTGGGCAATTTGGATACATCTCTGGCTAAGATTGACAAGAACTGCATAGCCTTGTGCTGATGCAAGCTGGTGGGCGGGTGCTTGGACAGCGCAAGAGCTCAGAAGACCCTAAGCACTCTCGGAAGACAGCAGGAATGCCACACATTCCAGAGGCCTTGGGAGACAAAGAGGAATGCAAGGTATTTCAGAGTGTTTTCTTTGTATTGTTTGTAGTAACTGGATTTTTGAGTTTGGGGATTGTGGGGACATTCATTAATTCTTCCTGTCCCCCTTTTATTTATGGGGTGAATGCAACCTTTCTAAGAGCTCCATTTTTCCTTTCTTAGTTTTCACTTTATCTGTTTAAAAGCTGCCTCAGGCTGACGTGCAACAGTAAATGGAAGCACAGTAAATCATCTGCAGGATCCCGGTGTTCTGTTTGCAACTGTGGGCATCCAGAGGCCCCTGAGGAGCCCACCCTAAGGTTGCAAAGGACACCCACCCACTGCTGTTTGCCGAAGCACTGAGGTTCCATTTAGCTATCACAGATAATAGTTGTAGCATGTTATATGCTGAGTTCTATAAGTTGGTTGTGTTGCAGGAAATACTACTTTTCTTTTCTTTTCTTTCCTGCCCTGAACCTATTGCCAATCAATGATACATCATGGTAAGCCATAGTAAATAGTTACCTTGAATGCACAGATTTCTCCCACTTCACTACTCCTTGCTAGTGAGTGGGAGCAACAAACAGTGATACAGGATTTAGTTTGATATTCCAACTGGGGGTGTGATTTTTTTTGCTCCAAACAAGCCACTTTGCAAAGTCAAGGTGTGTCGTTGAATTACCAATTGTGGTTTGTATGAGCAAAACAAACCACAATCCATGGTGCATCTGTAATGTTAAATCAAGGGTTGTGGTTTGTTGCTGCCCATTGGCAGGGAGCAGCAATTCGAACATTCACAGTAAATCATTAATTTTTGGGTGAACCTGTGTTTCTAGTATTATGAAAGGGAGAGAAAGTTCTCTGTATTTTCTTCAAACTAGTCACTTTTTAAAAATTGTCTACCATGCATGCTCCAATTAATTTTTTTTATAAAAGAGCTCCAAATGCTTTAGCCCTTTTTTGTGGTGCAAATTAGAAATGTAACCTGTATCCCAAATGTGATTGCACCTTAGATGTCTGTAAAAGCTTTATGATGCATGTTTTGTTTTGTTTTCATTTCCTTTTCAATCCGTATCCTAATGACTCGTAACATTAAGGCTGCAGCTGGGGACAAGGATATAGAGAATCATACACTTGCCTTCCATATGTGTATCTGGTCCTTCACCCCTCCCAAGTGGCAGGCACCCTCCTTATCCCTGAAACTGCTCTTTAAATTCCCCCAAGTCCCAAAAAGGGTATATATGTGTGAGGGATGCACATTTCAAAGGGAAATGCACCCCCACCTCTCTTTTTTGAATATGAAAGAAGCTCTTGGATCTTAAGGTGCATGGGAGTAGCCAGGATATTTGTTGGGGGGGGCAGGCCTTTTATTAGGGGGGCAGAACCTCAGTTTGTTATGTATTTTTATTGAATTTTATTTATTTAGGGGGCAGCTGCCCCCATGCCCCGCCCCCCCTTGGCTATGCCCATGGCCCTGGGCCACCTCTGAAGAGGGAACTCCACGAAGGAGGGAGGAGAGCATGTTCAGAATGTGGGCATGTACTCTCTATGGATCTGACCAGTGAGCCAGGGTTGGGATTCAGATTAGGGTCTCTGGATTTGGGTGTGGATTTGGGATTTAGGTGGGCATTGGCTTGTTCCCTATGCTGTCAAACCTATGTGGCTATGCAGTGTCACTGGCTATCATTCCTATCAATTAAGATGGGCTGGGAGTGGCTTCCCCAATTTCATTTGAGAGAGCTGGGAGTGGGAGCCAGGCCTTTTCAGAAGCTCCTACACTTCCATAGAATTTCTTCTCCAGTGATAGCTGCAGATGCCCAACCCTCTTTTAGTTCAGAAAGTTATTAGCATTCTGGGGGAATATTTTAATTCTTAATTTTACTGCTGGTTAAATATTATATGCTGAAGGAGACTCTTGAGAGTCCCATGGACTGCAAGAAGATCAAACCGATTCATTCTTAAGGAAATCAGCCCTGAGTGCTCACTGGAAGGACAGATCCTGAAGCTGAGGCTCCAGTACTTTGGCCACCTCATGAGAAGAGAAGACTCCCTGGAAAAGACCCTGATGTTGGGAAAGATGGAGGGCACAAGGAGAAGGGGGTGACAGAGGACGAGATGGTGGGACAGTGTTCTCGAAGCGACCAACATGAGTTTGACCAAACTGTGGGAGGCACTGGAAGACAGGAGTGCCTGGCGTGCTCTGGTCCATGGGGTCACGAAGAGTCGGACACGACTAAACGACTAAACAACAACAACAAATATTATAAACATCCAAACACAATTTTTAAAATGTAGTTGGCACTCTTTCTCAGGTAGTTGAAGACCATCAGCAAAGACTTGAGCCAAAGCAAGGCCACTGAGAAACAGTATTCACAAGGCAATACCTTTTTTAAAACACAAAAGGGATCAGCCTTCCTCCCTACCTCCCCCCCCCTTAAAAAAGAGAGCCCAATGAGGACTTAGTCGCCTCCAGGAGCCATAAAATATGGAGTGTCAGTTTGAAAAGCGAAATGGACTAAGAGAGGGAAAGGGACTGAGCTGGCCGGCTGGAGCCCCATCGAGGGCAAGGCTGGTTGCTGGTAGCCTGAGAAGAGCAGCTCCCCCCTTAAAGGGAGAGGAAGCAGGGCAGCATTTTGTTTCAGGTCTCATGTGGGGGATCTAGCTATCAGTGTTTGATTGTAACTTCTATATTTACCTCTTGGACTTTTTGGTAAGTAAAGCGGCCTATTTGGCAGCATAATAAGTTTAAAGCACTACTTTATGCGCAGTGCACTTTTTAAATGGCCAAGGTATGGAAGCAAGGAGTATCAGCTGTCAAGAGGATTTGGTTTTAACCCCCTTTTCAGGCCTTATCTCTGTGCCCTTAGAGTACACTACTGTAATAAAATGAATGTTGCGTAGTATACTCCTACCACGTGGACGCATCACAGCATTTGCCAGACCAGCCATTTGTTTGCAGGGATTCTGTGTCTGGACTTCACTTTAATTTACAGGCCTCCCTCCAGCTGATCTACTGAAACTGTTGCCAAGTAGGCAGATTCAAGGCCAGCCAGCCAACTGCAGGATAGTAAAGTACATACAAGACAAACAACTGACCTTCTTCGGCAGTAATTTACCTCAGGCCACTGGCATAATCTCTGTAAGTTTTAGGAACAGCAGTGTTCCATCGCTGCAAGTTTGTGAGTACAGTATGGCTAATTCTTGCTCTGCCCCTAGAGAACATTATACTCTAGGGTCTGGATGTGCTTGGTTTCCATCCATAGAAATAGAGCTCTGTAGCTCTGTTTTTTATTTTCTTCCAGAGTAGGGCTAAGACAACATGGAGCTTTCCAGGTGTCGCTGAGCTCCAGTACCCTGCATCTCTGACTATCGGCCATGTTGCTTGCGTCTGGAAAGAGCTGGAGTCCAAGACCATCTGGAGAGCCACACATTTCCCCATCTGTGCTCTATCTTGAGCTCTTGGTCAACAGTGTTTCCTGGCAAAATTCAGGACCGTTGTTAACTTGCTCCCTGTCTTCTGCTCCCCATTTCTGTTTCCACATAGGACCCATTTTCCCTCTGCAGAAGCTGAACTCTCAGAGCAACTGACACCTTGCTTACCAAGCTGATATGTGCAAGAAGGTGAATGCAAGTTGTTTTATTTTATTGGATTTTCTGCTACTCTGTGGGCACTATTAATAATCCTGTTAACTGCCTCCATTTCTCATCCTAGAAACCACTGTTATACCAGAAACGGTTTGGAAGGGAAGCTGAATACCTGGGCACTTGTCACAATGAGAAGCAAAGGTTGGCTGTGATGGCCAAATACCCGAGCAAGTTCAGTAGAATGAAATGGAAAACTCTGCTCTTAAATCTTCAGAGAACATGGCAGGAACAGTTTGGCAGACTTCTACATTCATGAAGGCATCTAGATAAGCTTTCTTGTATAAGCTAGAGGAAAGCAATGTGTTGCCAGAATCTATCCAACATTGTATCTAAAAGAGGTGTCAGCAGCAGGAGTTTCACAGGACTCTAATGAAAACAGATGCACTTTTACCTCCTGACACTGGTGTGGATGTGGGATTCACCACCTCCCTAGAAATCCACGCAGGTACAGAATGGTCACTGGGCTGCTGCATCCTGTCTGTTTGTGCTTTCTCATGGCTTTCCTTTCTTCTCAAGGAGCAAAGAGTGAACTTCCCAGGAAGTAAATATGGTAGCACCTGCTTTTTGCACCTGACCCATGTAATCGTATTTTTCTAAATAAATTTTTTTTGGGTACTGGTCATCTCTGTGAATCTGTTACAGATACTGCTCTACTACATCATATCTCAAAACTCATATTGCTAATACATTTGTTTTTTGAAATTATCCTTCTGCCACTTCACATGAAAACCACCATTGTTAAATATATAAATGGTCACTAACACCAGGCACCCACCCACCCTGGTTTCTGACCTCAGCAATGTTATTCTCTCCACCTACCATTTCCATAGAATGAAGATGTCCTTATTAATAATGGCTTATTTCATATTTGCAGAAATATTTCTGTTTACTACATTTCCACATGGCACTACTAGAGTATCTAGGCATATTTTCTTGGACCTTCAAAGTCTGTCGTAATAGTTGTTTTCACAGATTTGCAGAGGGCAACAGACATATGAGACTGCCAGTTACTAATACCGTGGTACCTTGGTTTTCGACCGTCTTGGAAGTCTAATGTTTTGGTTTTCGAATGCCCAAAACCCGGAAGTAACTGCTTTGGTTTTTGAACGCTTTTCAGAAGTCAAGCGTGCCATGTGGCTTCCGTATTGAGTTTCCTGGAAGTAAATGCTTCGGTTTTCGAACGTTTTGGAAGTCAAACAGTCTTCCGGAACAGATTACGTTCGAAAACCAAGGCACCACTGTACTTGGTATTTAACCAGTACCAGTCCCTCAATAATAACCCCATGTAGCAGAATGAATGCAGTTCTTTCCATGGGATTTGTATAAATCCATTCTTTTTGTATATATATCCTTTGTACTGTGAGCTGAGGTTGGGCTTTTCCATTATAGTTTCCCTGCCCTCAGTAATCTGTTGCTCTGATGGGACTCTGAAGTCTTTAGGTGGTGAGAAAAAGGGTTATGTTGTGAAGAAGAGGGAGGAGAAATCCAAAGAGCAGGGAAAGGAAGGCAATGTGTTTCCTTTGGCATTGGGGAATAGTGGTCCTCGGAGTCATGACATTTTAATGCCGTGTGCACTTAGCCCACCATGAGTCCAGTGAACTTGCAGGTGCCTGGAATGCCCAGCTGTTTTGAGAAAAATCAGTGCCTAGCAGTGTCCATCCACTAACTCAGTCTGTTCTGTAGGGAAGGGATGGGGAAAGCTGTGGCCCTCCAGATGTTTGACTCCAAGCATGGCCAGCCTGCCCAGTGGTCAGGGATGAAGAGAGTTATTGTCCAATAACATTCCTGTGTGGGAAATACAACCACTTCCCGCTGTACAGTGGTACCTCGGGTTACATACGCTTCAGGTTACATACGCTTCAGGTTACAGACTCCGCTAACCCAGAAATAGTACCTCGGGTTAAGAACTTTGCTTCAGGATGAGAAGAGAAATCGTGCTCCGGCGGCGCAGCAGCAGCAGGAGGCCCAATTAACTAAAGTGGTGCTTCAGGTTAAGAACAGTTTCAGGTTAAGAACAGACCTCCGGAATGAATTAAGTACTTAACTTGAGGTACCACTGTACTCTGCTTATCTTTTTTAACTACCATCCAACAGTTGCTAGCAGGTCAATGAGGACTTAAGAAGAGAAGGGTAGTTTGTTTGCTTTGTGCTTCAGAGAATCCTGCTCGTCATAAAGAAGAGTACAGAAAATCCCCACAGCTCACATCCATTTTCCGTTAGCTGCTGTCTATGAAAGCAGCTGTGAAGACCCATTTTGTAAGCACCACAACAGAGTCGGAACTTGGATCATAGTATTTTCCTGGCGGTGGAGTTTGGTTAATTCGTGTGGGTTATGCAGAGTCTTTCTATTGCCCGTGTGCATTCTGACAGAGCGAATGCCCTGAGCCCTTGATGATTTCCAGCCCATTGCTCACCTTGGTTCTCTCCACTGCCCCCCACCCAAGGTATGTGTTATTTCACCTATCTGCATAAGCAGGAGTCAGGGTAAATCTGACACAGACGTCTTTCATTACGAGAAAAGTCTGCCATTCTTTCTTTAAAATAATATTGTGCTTCATTCTTGGATTCAGTTCGTCAGGGACATAATATTACTCTTCCCTCAAGCACAGCATAATGCGGGCTTACTTCTTCTAGCAGAGGGCTTGTCGCACACCCCATTCTGTCTAGCAAAATTTAGTCTTGGAGTTGTCCATAGAAAGTCGAGTGCCCAGAATTCAAAGGACATCTGCCTAAGGGCATTGTGTGCCCAGTCCTTGTTATTTTCCTTTGAAAGTGACCAGAAACCATGTGCTGCCTTCTGTTCATTCAGTAGAACTCCCTCCCAGATGAGATAAGACAGGGACCTTCCTTCTGGACTTTGGGCATATGACTAAGGTAGTGTTTGGTTTTATGATATTTTCTGTTGTTTTATTGTTCCATTTTCTGTGGAATGTTTTTATGTATACTGTTAAGAAATGTGGTATATAAATGTCTTAAATAAATTGAAATTAAAATAAATGGTATTTGGGAGGCATTTTGATTATTGACTCTCAGGGAAGAAGAGCTTAAAATACACTGATGGCTATTTCCCCCCCATGCAGCAGTTAGTGAAAAGTGGCTGCAATCCTGCCCCTACTGAGCTGGAAGTTATCCAGACTTGACTCAGTGGACTTACTTCTGAGTAGGCACATATAGAGAGGATTGTGCTGTCATTTTGTAGGCGGGTGGAGTGCTTTGTAAGTGCTGTTAAGATCACCTAAATGGTCCTAGTGGTGACAAATGAAATGCTCAGAATCTGGTTTCTGAATATGTTGTGCTGAAACAGGGTACTGGATCTCCATTGGAGCTTGTCTGAGTGGCCTGCCCAGTGAATGCTCTCTCAGTAATACAAATGGCGTTCCAGATCCGTGCAAGCTGTCACTATTTTTTGCTTCATCTGTTTGACTCCCAGGTTGGGCTCAAGTGTGGATACGGCTCCACAATATGCCTCTCAATACTTTGCCTTGGTTAGGTCAGCAGAAGAGAGGACTTGGATAGCAGAATTGTTCTGAGGTATCCCCAGGCGACCACATTATGATGCTGTTTGAGAACACTTAAAAAAAAACCATGCTTCTGCCTATAATAGTTGTCTGGCCACATAATGAGATGCCTTAGTTTTCTCCTTGATTTGTTAGCTGCTTCTGAAGCTACCAGTTCATCTTTTATAATCTTCTTCTTCGGCGATCACTCGTAGCTGAGTAAGATTAAGATTGTCTTCCATAAACACTGTTTTAACAGTGAATCCGTAAGTGACTGTGGAGGCCAATTCTGGACCCACATGTCCTTCCACAGTGGGGACATTGGTTTCCGGGCGGGAGTTGATCACGGTGTGGATTTGCCAAGCGTGCCTTCCTCTTAGCATGTTTCTCCCTTGCGTCCTGAGTTCGAGTGTCTTCAAAGTCCATGACACCTTTGGTAAAGGCTGTTCTCCAACTGCAGCACTCGCAGGCCAGTGTTTCCCAGTGTTCCCATCTTTTATAATACTACCATTATGAAATAATGGGAGGAATTCAACATCACATGCAGGTGATCGTTCTGTCTAGGCAAGCCTTTTAACTTTCCAAATGGAGCTATCCCTCCTCTTTCCCTGCACACTGTTCTGGGGGTGCTCTGCCCCCCAATCCAATTGGGGGGTGGAATGCAGGGAAAGGAGGGGGGAAGCCCCATTGCACAAGTAAGTGGGGGCCCTTGCACAGGGCTTCTGCTGATGGGACTCGTGTTGAATCCCGCCCAATGATTAGACAATCATTCTCCTATTTCTAAGCCCTCAGAGATGCCTCATGGGGAATGAAGTTTAGATCCTCCCATATCTATTAATGTTGTGTTTTTTTGTCTTTTACCAGGTCTCCTAGCCTGCCAGTACATATTTGCATGGACACGCCTAACTATATTTCTCTTTAGCATGGATCAATATTAGTGAGTTTGCACCAGTGAGTCAGCACCATTGCTGCACCTGTGATATTTATTTCTAAATTAATAAAAGCTGAAGGGTGATAGCATGCCCATTGAGCAGCAAAAGCTGCTTTGTGGCCACTCCAGAAACACAGGGGGTGGTGGGAAGGGTTAATGAAGCATTCCCAGGCAGGCGCTCCCACATTCTTAACTACTGTTGTGGAGATAGATGGCAGAGACTAAAGAGGAAAAGTGGCCTAAAGTGAACAATGAGGTGAAGTCTGAAAGATCCAGCTTTGCTTGGGGGAAATATTACTTTCAAAGTGTTATTTCCAATGTGTAATGTAATGCAATCTAGAGCCAGATTAGAGAAAAATTGGGAAACTAACAGACAGAGAAAAACAGGAAAGTTGAGATGCAGCGGTTGGGTAAGGAAAACAAAAATAGGGTGATGATTCAAGTTTTAGGCCTTCTAGCTGTAACAGGTGGGGGCTCCATCACAAAAGGGGGCAAAAGCACACAGAATCCTTCTCCAATGTTATTTTGCTCACACTTTGTAGAAATGAATCTGTCTCCAGGCAGTGGTGAGGGGCCCGCAATGCAGCCCTTGCACCAAAGTATGACTTTGTTTTGAATTCTCTGAACCCTACTAAATTGGTTCAGAAATAGAAGGGCACTGGCTGGCACCTCTCTCCACAGAGGGTTCCTGTCTAGTCCCGAAAGAAAACAATAAATGTGGCTTGGAAACCGGGAAATGAGGGGAGAGAGAAGGTAAGGGGAGTCTAGCTAAAGCCTAGGTCACGGAAGGAAGGAGCCTGCTCCTGGGGCTCATCCTGGGGCCCAGTGCATCTTGGAAAGAGTCTGTGTAGCCCTTGCAAAGCAGCAGAAAGACTGAGATGTGGAGACGCTTGGAACACTTGTGTGCAAGGACTGGACCAGAGCGGTGTGTAGCAACTTCAAGAAGGTGGGGTGCCTTGTGCACCCATTTATGTGGAGAAAACCATACCTTACTGCCTCACCCTGATTGTATGTTTGGGTAGGGGGGCTTTTTTCACAAAGGCTCCAGGCTTGTACCTAAGTGATATTTCACATCAATAGATACCAGTGGCGTGTTCCTGGGACATCCTGAGTTCATTAACTGCCATGCCACAGGGTGAAAGCCCAGCCATAAAGGTGTGTTTTCTTAATCCATTTTTAGCAAGATACCATGGTCTTTACTGAAAAGGCATGAAGGTTTCCTGTAATGTAAAAATGAATACTCCAGACCTAATTAACCCTTGCTGAAAGGGGATGGACATGGACTTCTCAGAACACACTTAATTTAATTTGGATGAGAGTATTTACTCTCAGTGGGAGATACCCACAATTCAGCCAGTTGTTTGTTGCATTAGATGTGGCACTGGATTGAATTGGGGGAATGTGCAGCTTCCTGCTTGTGACCATCATGTGCTGGGATTCTTGCTGACTCACCCAAGAGGGGTGTTCTGTGTCCACCACAATGATGCTCCTCACTCAGGGCAAAGCTGATGACGCAGGGAGTCTGGGGTGCGGGGGGGGGGGGATCCACAATTCCCGCTGAACCAAGCTTCTCAGTAACAGTGCCTCTCATTTTGCTTCTTCGGTTTATCACCTCTCTGAGCACGTGGGCTCAAAGCTGCTATTGTCATCCTTCAGCTTTAAAACCATTTTCACTCATAAATACAATATATTTAGGGGGTTTCATGTTGGAGTTCAATGAAACATCCACCAATCCCCATTGCATTTCTCCTGGGACTCGATAGGACTTTCAGAGTTGGATAACAACCTGCCCTTTGCTGTTATTGTTAAGAATCTGTTTGCTACTTCATTTATACCTAGTGATGCTTTTTCTCTCACACAGTCTGCTTATATTGGCATGACTGGCAAGTCTGGGATTTCAGTTAGGCTACAGCATGATGTCTGAGGCAGCTCCTGGATTCCTAATAGTCACAGTTTGCATTTTGTGGTTTGGTTTTGCTTTGCTTTTGGAAAACAAGTTTCCAGCCCATGGGGTTCTAGAGTTGTATTTGAGAATATGTCGTCATCTGAATTCAGTGATCCTTTGTGGATACAGGGACACCGTGATGCACACACCCAGCTTGACAGGGAAGAAGGTGTGGCTCTGTGCACAAACCCCTTTACATGTGCAGATCTCCTCATGCTGTTGAATTTAATTGGAAAGTCCACATGTGCTGAAGCTCCGAGTGTACATTGCTGTGCCAATGCAGCTCTGAAACGGCAAAGGTAACTGTAAACAACTCTTTTGCCCTCTGCAAGTTTTCTCTGCCCTTAAAAATCAACAACTTCTTGCCTAACTTCTACATGTGTTCATTTGTTCAGAAAAATAAGCAAATGTGCATACGTACGTAGTCTGATTTGCATAACTTATACTGAGAGCAGAATATGAAGTTTCCTGATACAAATCAGTATCTTGCTTTGCCACAGAATCTGGACAGTTCAGGCCTAAGTAGGAGCCCTCTCTTTGTACAGGTTCAGCTTGCTGCTCACTGAGAGGCTAAAATGTTATTTTGAGATCTTGTTAAATGTTGGGATTGGAAGCAGCGAGTGGATATGGATATCTAGCAGGTTATATCATCACAGATTCATAATGTTAATGTTAGTGTCTCTGAGAACAGTCTGTAGGAGTAAAAGCTATTCCTAATGGTTGATTGTTTCCCGTAAATGGTTTGGGTAGCATTTGTCATTAGTTATGTGCTTTGACACCCTCAATCACATCTGTCCTTGTTGATGTGTCAAAGGTGATTGGTGGGGAGGGGGGGCAGTTCAATTTACCTAATCAAATCCTCCAGGGCAATAGATAGAGCAGATTTATTTTTCTCTATTTAGTTGGGATATGGAATCCTTTTTAGTCTCATTCCTCACAGCTACGGTTGACTTTATTAAGATGCCAAGTGAGGAACAATCAACCAGCTCATAAATACAGAAATAATTAATCACATCTACATCTTACAAGCAGCTGGTGCACATGAAAGAGATGCTGGGAAGAAAATCAGCACAGGTTTGTAGAGATGATTCATAGAAAACTAAGCTCTCCTTGTTCGCAGTCTTTGGCTGGCACTGCATGGCATCCATCCAAGTGGAATGTTCGGAAGACCTTACAGTAAATGATATTCTGACCAACATTCCATTCCACTTCTGTGTTTAACAACAAAACCCATTCATTTTTGGCAGTGATTGAGGAAAATATCTCCCTATTTGGGTGAGTGCTCCAAACAAAACAAGTCAATAGATAGAGCATGGAAGGATTTAGAAGTTTGACTTTCTTGGTAGCTGCCACATATGTGAGGGTCAACTAACTATCTCAGTGTCCCAAGCACAGTTTTGAGGGCCATCTTTCTGGGATACATCTATAATCCCCCCTTTCGCACATTTAACTTAGAAATCCTGTGCATATTTGCTCCAAAGGAAGTCTCAGTGGGGAGGTGTGCAGAGCATTGCAGTCTGAGAACTACAATAGATGTTTCCTTCCATCAGCCACATATCAGTGCCCAGCTATGCACACTTAAGTTCCATAGAAATCACAGGGGCAGACATTGTCCATAACTCTGCGCTGAATAATTGCTGTATTGTTTTAAAGGGATGGCTTTATTGTGTATTTTAATGAAGACTTTTTATTATTTTAATGTAAGTGTAGCTGGTTTTTATACTTTGTGAACCACTTGGGCACCTATTTTGGCATTAAGTGGTATATACTTTAATTAAATAATAGGCCTGTCTATTTGAGTCATGTTTCATGTACTGCACTGGAGTACAGTGTTGGAGCATTCTATCAGCTATATTATTTGGCTAGTTTCACATCTTTGAATCTGAGAAGTGCGTCTCACAATATTCTTAATACGTACAGAATTTTGAAATGTTGAAGATGCTCCTGTATGGGATGTAAGAAATTGTGTCATGGTGATAACAATGCTACTGAAATCTATGACTGTTAGTTTATTTCATGGGTGTTCTGACATTATGGTTATTATTTTGTCCACACCAGGTGAGCTGTTTTTTTAGGTCTCCTGTTCTCAAGCTTTTAGCTTAATATTTTTTCCAGGGCTGGATATATAGACCCAAAGGTTCCTGGGACAGGAAAAACTTTGCATCCAATCCTGGATTGTCCTCCTATATATAATTAATTGTTACTATTTTTTATACAGTATACCACTTACATGCCAGAACGACTTCTAAGTGCTTTACAACTATAAAATCAATAATAAGATCCACACATAATTAAAACACACTTTAAGGATTCCAGCAAGGCATTAAAACATCCTTAATTAAAATGTACAACAACCCAGGCAAGTGAAAAAGTATGACAATTGAAACAGTGAAAGCACAGTTGAAACAATGAGATCAGAAGTTTAGTTCTTGGGAATGATTGCTGGAGCAGGTCTGTTTTCAGGAGCCACCAGAATGGTCACCCTAATGATTGAGGGCACCCCACAATATGGGGGCCACCAGTGGAAAAGCCCATCTTGGCATTACCACAAGCTGAGAAGCCTCAGTGTGAGCCAGTGTGGTGTAGTGGTTAAGAGCGGTAGTCTTGTAATCTGGGGAACCAGGTTCGCGTCTCCGCTCCTCCACATGCAGCTGCTGGGTGACCTTGGGCCAGTCACACTTCTTTGAGGTCTCTCAGCCCCACTCACCTCACAGAGTGTTTGTTGTGAGGGACTCCTTCGGGTAGTGATAAAGCGGGATATCAAATCCAAACTCTTCTTCCTCTTCTTCAGGCGGCGGCAAAACTAACTGGCTTCCATTAGCTGAATGCAGTGCTCTCACTGGGCAGTGGAGGGGAAGAGGGATTTTCATGTAACTGGGCCAGAGTTATTTAGGGCTTTGCATGTCAGCAGCAGAACCTTAAAACTGCCCCAGTTGCGTGGCATGTGCCTGATAAGAAGTGTCACTCGTCACTTGGGCTGCAAGAGAAGCCCCACCTAGTGTCCACTGCCGTAATCCAGAGGTGAGGTTCCCAACACGTGTCACAGCGGCCAGAAAAGGGTGCAGCTCATGCACAAGACAAAGGGCTGACCGGCGCTCTTCACCACAGAAGCTGCCTGGGCCTCCATGGGCAAATATGGTTCCAAGAGCTCCCCAAAGCAGGATACCTGTCCTTTCAGGGGGAGTGCAACATCTCCCAGAAAAGGCAGACTCCTCAGTTCTCAGGCTTCTGAACCACTTACGCAAAGGGTCTCTGTCTAAGCAGAATTCAGCTCCAGTCTGCTGACCTTCATCCTCTCCGTCGCTGCATCCAGCCACTGGTTCAGCTTATGCCTGTTGGATTTAATAGAAAAACTGTGTGTCATCAGCATACCAATGTCACTGTGCCCCAAACCTCCTGAAGGGATCTCCCAGAGGCTTCATTGGCTAAAGTGTGGGGGATGGAGTTATGCTTTGCAGCACCCTGCTCCCCAGCTGCCCAAATGCAGACATGTAGTTCCCCAGGGCTGTTCTCTGGAACCAGCCATGCAGGTAGGAGCAAAACCACAGTGGCTCCAACTCCCAAGCAATGGCGGTGGCAATGGCACCCAAAGTCCCCGAGAGATGCAACAGTCGGATTGCCCTCTCCTTGAAGGAGGAGCAGGGCATGAACCCTGAGGGGAATGAGTCCAGAGAATCTGCTTCCTCCAAAGTGCCTGAAGCGGAGCTGCCACTGCACTCCTGAGCCCAAAGGAGATCATAGAATCATAGAATCATAGAGTTGGAAGAGACCAGAAGGGCCATCGAGTCCAACCCCCTGCCAAGCAGGAAACACCATCAGAGCACTCCTGACATATGGTTGTCAAGCCTCTGCTTAAAGACCTCCAAAGAAGGAGACTCCACCACACTCCTTGGCAGCAAATTCCACTGTCAAACAGCTCTTACTGTCAGGAAGTTCTTCCTAATGTTTAGGTGGAATCTTCTTTCTTGTAGTTTGGATCCATTGCTCCGTGTCCGCTTCTCTGGAGCAGCAGAAAACAACCTTTCTCCCTCCTCTATGTGACATCCTTTTATATATTTGAACATGGCTATCATATCACCCCTTAACCTCCTCTTCTCCAGGCTAAACATGCCCAGCTCCCTTAGCCGTTCCTCATAAGGCATCGTTTCCAGGCCTTTGACCATTTTGGTTGCCCTCCTCTGGACACGTTCCAGTTTGTCAGTGTCCTTCTTGAACTGTGGTGCCCAGAACTGGACACAGTACTCCAGGTGAGGTCTGACCAGAGCAGAATACAGTGGCACTATTACTTCCCTTGATCTAGATGCTATACTCCTATTGATGCAGCCCAGAATTGCATTGGCTTTTTTAGCTGCCGCGTCACACTGTTGGCTCATGTCAAGTTTGTGGTCAACCAAGACTCCTAGATCCTTTTCACATGTACTGCTCTCAAGCCAGGTGCCCCCCATCTTGTATTTGTGCCTCTCATTTTTTTTGCCCAAGTGCAATACTTTACATTTCTCTCTGTTAAAATTCATCTTGTTTGTTTTGGCCCAGTTCTCTAATCTGTCAAGGTCGTTTTGAAGTGTGATCCTGTCCTTTGGGGTGTTAGCCACCCCTCCCAATTTGGTGTCATCTGCAAATTTGATCAGGATGCCCTTGAGTCCATCATCCAAGTCGTTGATAAAGATGTTGAATAAGACCGGGCCCAAGACAGAACCCTGTGGCACCCCACTAGTCACTCTTCTCCAGGATGAAGAGGAACCATTGATGAGCACCCTTTGGGTTCCGTCAGTCAGCCAGTTACAAATCCACTGAGTGGTAGCATAGTCAAGACCACATTTTACCAGCTTCTTTACAAGAATATCATGAGGCACCTTGTCAAATGCCTTGCTGAAATCAAGGTAGGCTACATCCACTGCGTTCCCTTCATCCACCAGGCTTGTAATTCTGTCAAAAACGAGATCAGGTTAGTCTGACATGACTTATTTTTCAGAAATCCATGCTGACTATTGGTGATCACAGCATTCCTTTCTAGGTGCTCACAGACTGTTTGCTTAATGATCTGCTCCAGAATCTTCCCTGGTATTGATGTCAGACTGACTGGGCGGTAATTATTTGGGTCCTCTCTATGTCAGAGACTGGGCAGAAGCTGTCAGACACCTCGGGGTCCAGCAAGGGCTTTTGCAGGAGCAAGCATAGAGGACAAGCCCACCTCGTGGCAATCCATAATGTGGATGGATTGCTCTTCTTGGAGGAGTTATCATGGACTCAGTTTGTTCATGTTTTCTTTGAAGACCTAACAGTGTCTGCATTTGGTGTGTCTGACCAAAGTTGACTCATACTTGCCTTTATTTTTAATAATTTGCAGGGCGTGGGAGCGAGGGAAGGAAGCAAATGCCTCCAGACCCAACCAAAACACAAACTGAAAAACATTAATAAGGAAGGATAAGTTGTTTGCTTATTATTTTTAAAATTGCAAGGTGTTTCTTTGTTTCTCATACGTGGTTTCCAAATTGAAATTGCTGTGAAGGATGACAAAGAGTTGGAGTACCATTTTTAGGCATGGCTTGCTGGCTTCCTGTCTCTTAAAGTAATTAGGTCACAGTAAGATCCTTGGTCATCATGCCCTACTGACATAGAACTGCCAAGAATTTGCAGGTTAAGACAGCAATCCTAAGCTCCTGGGGAAGGCCGGCTGCCCTGGAATTTCCTTCCTGTCACCAGAGGCAGAAGTCTGCTCCACTGCCATCAGCGCTCTGGCAGCATGGGAGGTGAAAAGGGGCATGTTGAGGGTGCGTTGAGGAAGCTCTGGAGCTAGTCATAAAGCCCTTCTGTTCTCCCTACCACTACCACCCCATGGTCATAAAACTACACCAACCCTGAGCCTGACAGAGCTTAGGATGTGATGGCTCCTCCACTGTGGGATCTCCCACCGACCTGTATAGGATAGCGTTGCCCAATTGTAGTACGAGATAATCACTTTGGGTATCTCTTAGTACTGTGTTGGAAATGAAATGCTATGGATCTGAGTGTGGATAAGAGAAGCTGTGGCCCGGTGGTAGAGGTCATATTTTTAATATCTGATACAAGTAGCTGCTCAGCAGCTTAAGATAGTGAGAGAGTGGGATACATCTCTTGGCGTGACAATTTGGAATTCAGTGCAGAATAGGGCTGTGTGGCCTCTTGGCCAGGCAAAGCAGCTGTTCCATGTCTCTCAGTCGTATTTTAACTGGAGGTGCCATTGTTGGGGTTTATTGCAGTTCAGGCTTTTGATTCCTGCTACACTTTTTGCAGTGATAGTGCAATAATTTGTGAGGTACCGAACTTATTTTGTTCACAGCACCTACTTACCTTAATGGAGCATCCTCAAAGTATTGCTTGTGCTGAAATACTCAAATATATCGGATGACCTTCTAAGCCAGGTGTGGGGGAACCTTTGACCCTGCAGGTGTTACTGAACTACAGCTCCCAGCATCCTTGGCCGTTGGCCATGCTTGCTGGGGCTAATGGGAGTTGTAGCTGAGCAACATCTTGGGCAAGAGCCAAAGGTTCCCTGCACTTCTTCTAAGGAATCAAATGCTAGGATTTAAACAACCAGCCTTAGTTATCATAATTTGCTTCCTTTAACTGCTTTGTTTCTTCTTTCCCTTCCCGCAGGTGAGCGACCGTTCCCTTGCACATGGCCCGATTGCCTTAAAAAGTTCTCCCGCTCTGATGAGTTGACGCGACACTACCGAACCCACACTGGGGAGAAGCAGTTCCGGTGCCCCCTCTGTGAGAAGCGGTTCATGAGGAGCGACCACCTGACAAAGCATGCGCGTCGCCACACTGAGTTCCACCCCAGCATGATCAAGCGATCTAAAAAGGCCAGCTCTGCCTCCTTTTGAATAACAGACTACAATGGGGGTGGGGGGTGGGGAGACAACCATTGTCGAGAAAGGCATAACTGATCAGCACAAATACGTCCGCCAGTGTACAGAAATATTCCCCTACTTGCATTTTTAAAGCACATGTAGCCAGAAGATTAACATTTTCATCCTCTCCACCCTGCTATGCTACCAACAACAGTCTTAAATCAGTCACTGCTGGGTGAGCGTTGGGGGGGGGGGGGGGTCAGCAGAAATAATGCAACTTTTCTTTTTGTAGTTTAAATAATTGACACTGGTGTATATATGTCTGACTGGTGGTTTGACCTGTGACACCACAGTAGTGATTCCAAGCTCTTTGTGATTGCTGTGTCATGGGCATGTTTTGTTGACTAATGTAATGCTGCTTGTATTTAAATGAAAACAAAAACGACAAAAAAAGTTTAGTACAACCACTTTCCAGCTCACTTAAGTATTTCTCAAGTAAAGGAAACAGAACAGAAACCCAACTCCATAGCACATGTTTTAGAAGAAGATTCACTTCTCTCTGTGTGTGTCTCTCTCAATGGTCCATCCTGTTCAAGACTGTTAAGAAAAAAACCATTACATCTGTTGCTCTTATTAGCTGATTGATGTACAAACAAGGAGGTGAAATTTATACTGAAGAACTGTTCTGTATATCCAGGTTGTTGTTTTTTTAAAAAAAATGAGCTACACTTTTGATTATATGTTGCTCTTTTTTTGAGTGAAATCATGCATACAAACCAATGACTAAGCAAAAAGGAAAACAAGATATAAGCTTGTATCATGTGTTTCTGTGGCTCTGCTCTTCATTTGCCATTTGGGTATATTTGTGAAAAAGTCATTGTAGAGAATGTGGGAGAGGTATGAGACTAACAGCAGTGCCCCCACTTCTAGCTGACTTTCATCTGAAAACGATGTACCGTACTGTACTCTATAAATACCACTAACAGTGCTTTATTCTGCTGCGTTTCATTGGAATGGATGCATAAGCAGCAGCTACCATCCTTATAAGCTACCACTTTTGTAAAGGTTTTTTCCTTATGTCTCCCTCTCTCTGAAAGGTGCATTCTCTTCATCCAGTTGCCAGATTCCTGTCAGCCAGTGGGAACTGTGTGCATTTCTGGAGGGAACAAAACTTTCTCCCTCTCCTTACACAACATTCTCTATGCTAACAGAGACAAGACAATGAAGACTTGTTGGGTTTTTTAAAACCACTTTCCAAGAGACTTCTACCTTTTCATAAATTGCAGCTGTTGTACAGAATATGAGAAGAAAACAAACAAACCAACAATAACAACGAGGTAATTGAACCTACCACACAGGGGGTATGTCAAAATATTTCTTAGGACATGAACTCTGCCACTATGTACCTTGTGATCTTACCCTGTGTGTTAGGCTTGATACATTGAATGATAATGGCAATATTTCGTCCGTTAATGCTAAGGCTTGCTCTTTGAAAACAGGAGTGAAAGCGTCCTTGGGAGAACCCCTTGCATCTAGTCAAGCCGCCATCTTCGTCAATGTTAAAGCATGAACTTTCCCTCCCCCATCTCTTGTAATGGTGGAGAATTATGTTTACAGACTTTCCCCGCTACCCAGAAACATTCTACTGGTTCTATGTTCTTTACTCCTCCTTCGCAAGGAGAGAGAGGTGCAACTGTCCTATCTAGGGCCAGATTCATCCCTGACATAATCACCCTGCAGCCAGTGGAATTATACTGGGATCAATTTGCCCCATCTTTGTAAAGAATCTGTACATACAACTCTTGTAAAGTACACCTGCAATGGCAGAATCTTCTTGTTTCACCTGATAAAAAGCTAGCTTCCTAGAAAAAAATAAAAATAAACAAACATCTCAGAGAGTAGAGTATTCTACAATCGTCCGTGGCTTCCAGCACTTAGAACTCAGTATGCATCTAGCATTTTTAACCTGTGTGGTTCATTATATAAAAAAAACAAACAAACTCTTGTCTATGCGAAGTGAATGGCTTCTAAGTAAAGGTATTAGGGGCACTTGAACAATCTATGGGATTTCAAAAGCAAAAAGGGATGAGTTTTCTTCAGTGAAGACATGTCAGGAAACCAAGCACACTTTCTACCTCCGTTTCAGCTTTTTGAAACGTTTTATTTTACGATAAACCAAAATTAATTTCTGGTGTCCAAAATAAATCATAGGGATGTTTGTTCTTCCTTATAAAAACAGGTAGCCTGGCTATTTCTATCGCTCTAGTGTAAAAAGTATTCTGCTTTTCCAGTACTGTTAATGCTGCCTTGTTTGATGGGGGTGAGGATCATGCGCTAGGCCAGCCACTCACAACATGGGATTATTCCAGCCAACCTCCCCTTCTAGCCAAGACCAGTTCTCAAGAGCCTCTGCTCTCAGTTAGTCCTACTCCTTCAACAGTCACTAGAACTGTCTGCTGTTGCTCTGAGGTAGGACAAAGCAGTATTAGCGAAGTAGAGCCTGGATGCTGAATGCTGTTATTTCACCTTGACTGCAAAGCCACAGGCACATGAACATCCCCTCCTTGACAAATGATCAGGTCGCTTAGGCACATGAGAAACTGTCGTGTGGCTGCAGAGTGATTAGGGCACTTGCCTCTTTTTCTGACGGGTGTGGGTTCATTTCCTTGATCTCACACTACATAGCCCACCAGGAAGATTATAGTCTGGACCCTTGAGTTGGCAAGTCTATGGTGGCTGAGCATTGGCCTGCATTCAGCTAAGTCCACCCAAGGACTTCCCTGCTCCCCTCTGCTCCCCCTGTGGGCCCTGCATTGGTTCAGGGGAGCCCCGGAGAAGCTGGCAGGCAGGTGCAAGAGGCAGATAGGCTTGTGCAGACGGAGCTTAGCTCTGTGCTGAATTCCTCCCATTGCTCCTATGTGTAGGTTACAGAAATGGCATTGCCTTAACCACATCAGCCAAGCAGGGTCTAATGATGCATCTGCTGTGCCCTAAAATGTAATTTCGCACAGCTTTTAGGCATAATATGTTTTAAAACAAAACCAACATGTGAATTATGTTCTTTCTTAAAAAAAACATTCTTGGGTGCTAAGCCTACCATGGAATGTATAATCTTAAAGTTAGGTTTGTTCTCTTAATAGATCTTCCATCTATATTTTTAAAAATTGTGAAGCCCTTCATTGTCACTGCAGTGACGTATGCATGACCACACTGCTTATTGGTGGCAGCTGTCAGTGTGGCCACCAGTTTGTGGTGGGTTGGTTGTCTGACTTGCAGGTGAAGGGTTTTGTCACCACAGCATCTGCACTGAAGTGTGTTGAGCAGCAACAAGCAACATTTCAGTTTTGCTAACAGACAACCCAGTCACCACAAAGAGCCACCGTGGCTGCACTGAGGGGGAACAGTTGCCACCCCCACATCAAGCAGGGCCATAATTTGTACCAGTCCTTGGACCATAGATGGACGTGGGAATGCTTCCTGTGTTACTTTGAGCAGATATGGGTGTGCATGAGAAGGTCTTAAAAGGGTGGATCCACATGTTTTAGAGTTGAGGATTCTGCTTCTTTGCCGTGATTCAAGAGAAAAAGATAATTTGCAAAGATTTCTCTTTAACCCCCATACCGCTTTCTTTCCTCCCCAAGCCACGTGGGGGAAACTAGGGTGTGGTGGCTTAGAGAGGAAATCAGTGGGCAGGATTAGGGACCTGCTGTCCTGTTTCTTCCTTGCAAATTATTCCTTCTCCCACTTGCTGCAGAGAAGCAGTAATAAGAGTTTCTGGCCCTGTGATTTCTGACAAGCGTATGTAGACCCAAATATGCATGAGAATGGTTTGTGAGAAAGGTAATTGAACCTGCTCATGCCCCAGAAAAGGCCCACACATGGCAAGCCTCAGAGTCGGAAGCAGAGGCCTGCTTCTTCAGCTGTGCTTCTCAACACACTTGAAAGCGAGTTTCACTGAAATCCACGGGACTTGATTCCAATTGAATATGCTTCGCATTGGGGTGCAAGTCTTGCTTCTTAGGAGTCTTCCAAAAGTAACCTCAGAAGCTACCCAAAGTTTATTAACCACTAACAAAATTAAATGAAAAATAGGAAAAGTTTGTCTCTCTCGGTGTAAAAGCAAGCAGTAAATTTCATGGTCAAACTTGACAATGCAGTAAAATCAGTTATTATTGGTTCTTAACAAAAGGGAGTTTAGGAAGAGACTTTTGCAGGTGTTGAGAAGAACAAAAGATCAAGTTTTCTGGGAACATCATTTGCCACGTTACTCTGGAAATTCTTAGGAGTGCTGACGTGAAGATGGCTCCTCTCCTCACTTCAGAAAGACCATTCTAGAGAAGCCATGGCTTTAAAACTATAGCTATACAACATCTTTTGTGAACAATTTTGATGACTTATATACAGGTCTCTTTTCTGTTTGCCGATGGACTTAGCCCAGTATGCACCAAACCGGACATACTCTTCAAATGCTGTTTTACTACAGATTAACAATCTGTAACACTGTAAAATACCAACCTTTACAAGTTTAATCCATTTTATTTTTGTACAGTATTCGTATCCTTTCTAAGTTATTTTCCTGTCCTGTTTTTGTAAATCACATGAAATTGTAAAAAAGAAAAAAGTAGTCATAGGTGTTTTTTGTACATATGTATATATAAATTGTCCAATAATAAAAAATAAAACAAATAAAAACAAACATGTTACTTGGAATGATTTGCATCCATGAATGACTGCACAGAATTTAGTGTCCGCTTTATGCCTGAGTGGGGATTTGAACCCTGATCTCCCTGTAGTAGTTAGTCCAGTACCAACCACTACACCACACTGCCTCTCAACTGAACCGCCTAGGCAAAAATTTAACCTGCCCCCTGAAGCCCAACAGTAGCAAGGGTGCCATGGAAGTCTTTGTGGGGAGGCCATGCCACAAACTGGGCCCGCTTTTTCTCCAGCTGCTGATCCACCTTTCCTCTGAAGGCTCCAAGTCATAGAGGACTTTGAAGTCCTAGAGGTACAGCCAAGATGGCCCCCTCCCCCCAGCCCCAGCCAGCATAACTAGTGGTTAGGAAGGATGAACATTGTGGTCCAGAACACCTGAAGGGAACCGCCTTGGCTGCCCCTCAGGCTTTGAATTGTGCTTGGAAACCTGCAGGGCACCTGGCTGGCCATGTAAGCATCACAAAAAATGGACATAGATTTGCATATGCGGATTGATGTGTATAGATGCGAATTTAGATATTATTGCTACAATTTAAATAGAAATACATTGTGTTACCAGAGTGTGTCATTTTAGGGGGTGAAACTTAAATTTTGCAAATTTCTTCAGTGAAGGGTCTTAAAAATATTTTTTTGGGTGTGAGGAATTCAAATCTATTATTTTTGTGATTGGACAACATTTATTTTGGTAAGTCTATGTCTGATGAAGAAGCACATAAACTGACATTTTCTTAAGCCTGCTCATCCAGCAGGCTTTTGCGTCCCAATGATTCTAACGTGTTTAACACCTTGGACGAATAGATGTACCGCTCAATCTTACACAAGTATGTTTAGAAATAAGTCCCATTGAGTTCAATTGAGCATTCTGACATAATCAAAAGGTATAAAGTACCCATCAAGTGTATGACGTTTATGAAATGCAGGCAACCAATAGGTTTACAATGATTAAAGAAAAGCCGCAGACCTATTGCACCTCTTCGATTTCATGACCTTTAAGCTCTTGGGTACCCTTGTGAATGTATGTGTCATACGCATCAGTCAACATATTTGACAAGCTGGTCTCTAAAAGTAGGTCTATGAAAGTAAATTCTACAGTAAGTATGTTTGTCTTTAATATGCCAGAAGACTCTCGGGGCACTTCTGGCTAGAGACAAATATTTCATTCTGAAAAACACGTATTTAATTCATTATTAAACCATTTTTCCATGTGTGTTTGCAACCATTTGGCTATGTTTGTTTGTTTGTTTGTTTGTTTGTTTGAAAGGTCTGGTTTGCTTGAAGTTTAAAATACAACTTTTGGTCCAAATCGGAGCCAAATTATTTAGGGAATGGTTCATACATCATGTTAATTATCTAATTATTACAGCATTAACTGGTGATTTGCAAGTGTGAATCACAGATCAAGCAAGTGTGAACAAGCATCACAGATCAGGCAGAGTATTTTTCCAGCCCCTGCCCCCATCACCACCTTAGATGCCATGGAGTTAACTTGCATGTTCAGCTGCAAGTACTGTAATCAGGGAGGAGTCAAGTTATGAACACAGAATGCGTAAACCAACCTTAAAGGTTAGCAGATAACGGTGAATTTTATATATATTTTAAGATTAGATATTTGAAAGGGTTGAGCACGTGTTTAATTTGTAATGTATTGAAAGTTTGAAATAACTAAAACTGAAGAAGCATTTGAAGGTCAACTTCTCCAAAATGACAAAGGCTTAAACCTAGAAGGTGCTTATGCTGGCAAGTAAGTGTCTAAGATCCACAGCTGCTCAACTGTGGCAAAGTTATATCTAGTGCACAGAAGAACAAAGCACCTTGTTGACCCATCAGAAAGAACAAGATGCTTTCCATAGCTTCTGAAGAAGCGCTCATCATCACAGCCCACCCTGCTCAGCGCCTCCATCTGTCCTGGGCTGTGTTGTGTTTCCAACCGTCTTGCCTGATCTCGGACATCAAGGAGGACCATAAGGGAACATGGAGCTGTAGCTGGACACTTCCCCTAGATGAAACAGGTTTATGCACTGAATGTTTACATCACTGGAAATAAGGAAGATACCTTAGCAGGTGACTTAGCAGGATATTTTTGGATTTATTTTTGTCTGCCTGTGTCAGGGGAAGTCAGAATGCAAACCACCACCCACCTCGGCAGAGTTGTTAGGCACAGAGGAAATGTTTGCTTTTGCAGGCATGCTGCTGAAGGAAGAGAGACCACAAGATACAACTAATGAATAAAGGTGGGCACTGTGGGAGCGTCTGTTAATTTATTTGCTACTATAATGCCAGCACAGGGACGCAGGTGGCGCTGTGGGTTAAACCACAGAGCCTAGGACTTGCTGATCAGAAGGTTGGCGGTTCGAATCCCCGTGACGGGGTGAGCTCCCATTGCTCGGTCCCTGCTCCTGCCAACCTAGCAGTTCTAAAGCATGTCAAAGTGCAAGTAGATAAATAGGTACCGCTCCGGCGGGAAGGTAAACGGCGTTTCTGTGCGTTGCTCTGGTTCACCAGAAGCGGCTTAGTCAGGCTGGCCACATGACCTGGAAGCTGTACGCCGGCTCCCTCGGCCAGTAAAGCGAGATGAGCGCCGCAACCCCAGAGTCGGCCACAACTGGACCTAATGGTCAGGGGTCCCTTTACCTTTACCTATAATGCCAGCATCCTCAAAAACACAGTGCTAAAATAAGCTGTACTTTAGTTAACTGTAAGTTACTGGCAAAACTTGAACATTCCTCATTGCCTTATACCTGCTGCATTGCCTAAATGTCTGTGATAAAATAACCATTTGCATATTTTGTATAAGGTTTCACCAGAATTGCTTATTTAAAGTAATGAAAAGCTGTTCTGCTCCCTTTTCTTTCCCAGTGTTCCTTGGCAGACCTCAATGTTTGTTTGTTTAAGAATTTGTTGCTGTGCCTTCTCTCTTTAGAAACCAGGAGGCTTACCCATACAGACAGTCATGGAACCTAACAATAAATATAATCCTTGCAATAAATGCAGAAGGAGCAAGCATCTCAACTTGTAGCAGCTAGAAAATCAACAGCAACCACCATTCACAACAACTTGAGGTCAGCAGTCTATCTACCTCACCGTTGTCATCTTCAGACTGATCTGCTGCATGCTTACTCAGAAGTAAGCTCCACAGCAGTCAGTCGGGAGTGATCTTATGCAACACTGCATAGGGTTACAACCTAACTCTCTCCTCCAAAAACACCTCATGCTGTAAAAAAGCAAGAATCTTCTAAGGACGAAGTAGAATTCACTCGGAAATAAGTTACAGAGCTTTGGGATAGACCTCAAAATGGCCTTTTATGAGATTTAACTTGGTTCACTGAATAATCCCTAAGTAGGGTCTCTCCCCATGATTTTAAAATATAGAAGGGGGAAGGGCAGGGTGATGGGAAGGCTCCAAGAGGAACAAGGGATTTAGAGGCCAATGTGTCTTATCTTGAATTGGGCTGAGAAGCCAGTACAATTGCCACAGAACCAGTTAAAAATCTTAGCATCACCTAGTCCCCTGAGGTGAGCTGCAGAATCCGGTATTAGCTGAAATTACAGTGGTACCTTGGTTTTCAAACTTAATTCATTCTGAAGTCTGTTCTAAAACCAAAGCGTTCTAAAACCAAAGCGTGCTTTCCCATAGAAAGTAATACAAAATGGATTAATCTGTTCCAGACTTTTAAAAACAACCCCTAAAACAGCAATTTAACATGAATTTTACTATGTAATGAGACCACTGATCCATAAAATGAAAGCAAGAAACCAGGCTGAAATCTACTACCCAGGATCAAAACTAACAGTGATCTACCCATTGCCATTTGAGGGTCAGGCGGGAGGGGGGAGTTTAAGTGTGTGTGTGTGTAAATACTCAAACTGGAGGGGCGAGGAGCGCGCATGAAGAAGGAGGTGGCTAACTGGATGCAGGAGAGGGGAGTTTAAGCGGGAGGGAAGGAAAGGGAGGCAAAAGTTCTCTTCCCCTGCCCAAGCCAGCCCCCCCCTTTTTCTCCCCTGCATGTTTTCCAGCATCTGCCCACACTCCCCATTCACCTGGGCTTCTGTCTCCTCTTTGGGCAACATTACAAAGCGGCAGCCCCAGGCTGTGCCCCCAGCCGCTCAGCCGGGTGGCTTGGAGCCTGCGTGCAGTGCAAGCTTGTGAATGCAGCGCCTGCGCTGGCTCGCCTGGATCTTGCTTGGGGTCGGGCTTGGGATGGGGGAGGGAAGGTGAGGGGGTGGGAAGGTCAACCTGCCCAGCATAGTTCCCCCACCACATGCTCCCCCCCCAAACACCGTCTCTCTGCGCGCTGGGGAAAAGTCACCAACTTCCAAGTCTCCTTACTTCGGAGTCACTTACATTCCGAGGAGCCGCCCAACTCCACTTTGCACTGAAGAAAGAGGCGCTTCCCAGCAGAGGAAAGGGAAGGGAAGGAAGTGCGGCAGCCACTACTGGGGCCACGGCGCACGCTCAGAATGGAAGTGTGCAGTCAAACTGGAGCATGTTCGGCTTCCAAAAAAAGTTCCAAAACCGGAACACTCATTTCTGGGTTTGAAGTGTTGGGTTCCAAGTAGTTGAAGAACTAAGCTGTTCAAAAACCAAGGTACCACTGTAAAACAAACTCTTTCCAAACGTGGAAAGCAGATGTGACAAGTCTGAGCTTCTTTTGTTTTGCACTCCAAGAGTAAAGGTTTGTTGGGGGGGGAATAGTGTGACTGCAAAACACCAAGTCCCAAGCACATTCCTCCCAATAAACTCTGCTCCCCAAATACAAAAGCCTTTGTCCCCATCCTTCCTGACCATTGACCATTTTGGCTGGGGCTCTTTAGCACATGGGTTACCAGCCTTTTTTGACCAGTGGGCACCAGCCACAAAATGTTTGTAATGGGGGTGTGGGAGAATGTTATTTATTCTAAACAGAAAGTTAACTCAGTCTCTGCACTAGGATCAAAAATTGAAGACAGCC